TTTTTTCCCATTTGAAGAGTATTTTACCGAATAGGTAGATTGTACTTATTGATGAAAATACAACCGATTGTCAACAAATAATTTATTCTTCATAAACAGTCTAAGACTACTTTAAATTCTAGTGACTTCATGTCCTAATTGCTAGTTTTTTCGCATTCACGAGATTTCTAAAGAATTTGTTCTTGGAACTCAATACTCGACCACAGTAGTGGAAAACGATGATCTTATTTCTGAAGGTATTTTTCTTTGTGGTGGAAGAATGGTGCGAAGACAACTCGTCCAGCAACGATTTGAAGAAAAACTTCGTTACAGTCACAACGTTGCTGAGATACTTGAAAAACTCCAGACCGCAGATGTCTACGGCGGCGAACGAGCGCACTGTTACCTTCTCCGGGGGCTAACGCGTTCGCCACCACACCATGAGAGTCCTTCGCTCCGCCTTTCTCTCACTTAGTTCTATCGATCAGCGCCATTAGCAAGAACCCAACAATGGGATTGATCTGGGAAGCCCACACTGGGGCATTGAAGCCAGTTAAGCTGAGGCTATAGTTGAAATCACAATGTTTCACCTTTTTATTTTCTGTCTACTACAATTTTTACGCCAGAATATTAAGCGAAATACAACCACAACGCTGCTGAGATAAATTTTATGATGCTGAGATATTTGCAAAACTCAGGACCGCGGGTTTCTACGTTGGAGAACGAACGCGCTATTACCCTTTCCAGGGGCTAACGCGTTCATCACCACACCATGCGGGTCCTTCGCTTCGCCTGACTCTTCGAAAAACTTCATCGTTGGCCGTGAATGGTGTTCGCGTAAATGTCGCTGGTTCATTTTCATAGCAAAACGTTCGCGTCCTCGTTCTGTTCAAGCAGACCTAGGGCCTTCGATGACTGAACTTTCATTATAACCTTAGAATTGCATTCGTATTCGAATCGGAAGTTCATTGGCCTGAGAACACAGAGGATTAAATGCATTTCAGAAGCCAACGATTAAGAGCGGTTTTACTGGAGGCTTTAATTATCTCTATGCGCCCCACTTAATATTGAAAACTAACAATTTCACTGGAAACATTTCAGGCAGTTTATTTCGTTCCATCCTAGAGAAAACTTTCAACAATAATGCTAGTAGCCTTTAGCATATACAATTGTCCCAAAGCCGCCTGTTCAGCAGTGAATTGGTGCCCACCGCAACACACACGTCGTCCTCGTTTAGATCCCGGGATCCAGGTTAACCAAGCCCGTACCTCTTCAGGGTCAATGGATTGCTACCAGATTTGTCCGAAAGGATAGCAACAGTGACTTGACACTTCAGGAGGTTACCGGGTCATTCCATCACCTACAACAGGTCTAGTGGAACCGAACACATGTCGTATCCACAATGGATATAACAATGCTGAGCTCTCTGTCCTTTATTTTTTACAAACGCCGAAAATGATGACGAATAGGCAGAGATCGTAAGTGATGCAGTACATCTTGTAAGACGAACCACGAAGAAAATACGAATTCACTTGGAGCATAAGCTCCATCATAACTTGTAGCAAGACTAATCAGAACAGACTAAAGTTGTTGCCAGTTGTCGTCCCCTCCTACAGGCTCCAATTTTTCAGGGTTTCATTGCAGTAATTTCAAGTCCTACAAATACGAAAAGGCAATAGAATTTTCCCTCTCTGCGGTTTCAGCGCCTCGAGGTGTTCCTGGGCGTCGGAATGCGATGTACAGCAGCAGATTCATCCCCTGGCAGGGTCTCCCAAGCTTAGAAGGAGTCCGGCGTTTCCATCAGAAAGCCTAGCTAAGAGTAAACCAATACCAGGATCCACCACCGTCTTGGTATCGAAGTCGCATTGTGGCAAATCTCCTTCCGGTCCACAAGGTCTGTGGCAGCCTGTTGTGGTGACGACCTGGTGCAGACTTTGGCCAGAACCTGGGAACTCCAGGAAACGACAATGGCTTAACCAGCACATCTCCGGAAAATGGAGATTATGCTGGGGCCCGAACAACGAGTGAGGACGGGCCGTTCATGTATCAAGTAAGTGATGGAATTTTCAGTTTACTACGTAAATAATAATATTAGCAAAGCTTACACATCTTCATCCTATTAGTTCCTTTCTCTAGTTTTTTTAAAGCATTGTTTTTTTACAGTACAAAAAGTATTACAGTATATAGAAAAACTAAATCGAAAATGGAAAGATTTTCTTTTCGAAACTCGATTGTTCAAATGGAAAACACATGGTGTAGATTGAATTCACAAATGCACTCTATGAATGTGACATTGTCAACTTTGATGGATTATCAACTGAAGTCTACACCTAGAGCGTTAAATAATTGTAACACTATAAAAGGCGAAAGCATGAAGATTTGAGCGAACTCCGACGAGGAAAACGATCAACATAGGACCTGTTGGGATTTTGATAGAATTCACTGAACAGCTCACTCATCCTGATCTAATCGTTCACTCACTTGACTGAACAGTTTTTTCAGCTCTGTGACATGTGATAGTGACAGAAAAATCACTTAATACTTTAGCGAAATCAAGCTTTGTCCAATACAAAAGCTGTGCTATCAACGTCTTCTAAGGCTAGACAGGCATAATCAACAAGAAAGAAACCGGCTTCTGAAGTTTGGACCTTTGAAGAATATACCATCTTCGACAGCCGGCAAAATGTATCACAATTAATAAACATTAGCTGACCAGAGACATCATTCATTGCTGGTGGAAGTAAAGAACGCTGAACGGAGAATAAAAACAACGTCGTAGGAGACCCAAAATGAAAGAAAAACGTGTCTGTTAAACTTGAAAACAGCAAATTTCACAGCTGAAAACTTCTCAGATTCTTAGAACGAAGTAGGAGCCATCAGCGAATGCCACCATTATAGACGATTGTCTCAAAGAAATGAACAGAGTGAAAGAAATGCTGAATGCAGTGTGACTCGTGAAGACATTTCACCTGAATCTCCATGTTGGTCAGGTGTGCCTTTTAAAATCTATTTGAGGCATATATTATAACACCTAGATGCTTTAATTGTTCAGTTCCACAATGGCTTGTCCGGGTGCAACTTCCATCTAATTCGTAATTTTCTGATCGGGCAAACTCCATTCCACTGAGAATTCCAATGATTTTTGTTGAACAACGTGATAGAGCTGCTCATTTAGGCTTCCCTTTGTGTTCTTTTAAACATCAAGATTAAAAAACGGTCATTGAAGTGTAAGGCACCTCATATTCTTTTTTCTTACTGATAGGATTAATCCTTTTGTTCGGAACATGGTTTTTCGGTGACTGACGATAATTCCTCGATCACTACAGTATTTAAAAAGCCCAAAACCTTAAGGAATTATAAAAGAAGAACTTTTCTCAATCGAACTAATGACATATTTAGTTTTCAGACTGTCTTTTCAAATTTAAATGTCATTTGAAATAACTTTCAAATGCCTGATGACGGTGTTCAAGTCTTCATTTCCAGTGTAGAAGCGTCGCATCCACACAGAAACAATATATATGAGAACGCCACCTTGTCCTCCTGGAAGAAACCGACGTGCTTACTTGCTTCGACGTACCAAATGTGACACATTAAGCCATGAAGTGGTAAAAATATATATCATGAGTTCCAACGAATCAAAACTTCATCATGGTGAAATAAGGAAATTTTATCTGGTAGGCAAATACTTATATCCTTCAGTGATTTTTATTACAATCAAAAAATTCACAATGAGTCATCATTTCCGCACCTTATTCTATTGTCTTTTAACCACGAATCTCCCTCATATGAGGAACCCCGATAGCCGGTTAGTCGCAAGGCTACGTGGGGTGTCCCCAGGTGGCGGATAGACTGTTTATCGCGGACCGAAAGCGACTTTTACTTCCCTGAGACGCAGGTAGATCCAGAGGTTGGACACTTTGTTTCCGCTGCGCCGATTTAGCTCATACTTTCTGTATTTAGAGGCGTATTCATGCACGCGTGTGTGGGCGCGTTTTAGTTTAAGCGGATTGTATTCTACAAGTCAACTCGGCCAAAAGCCTGCAATCCAGTGAGAGGGAAGTATGTGAGAGGCGGTTAGGAGTCGCCTCCAACAAATAAGCTCCATGTCCACTCTGGGAGAGCCTGGCAAACTACCAGTGAGTATATCCAGCTCCACGTTCAGAGCCCAGCAAACTATACGTGAGTGTTAAAATGCTAAGCACAGTTTAAAAAAAAACGGGCCTCATTTCCCTGACCCCGAAGGTGCCCCCAATTTCGCAGCGTTGGGTAGGACGAGCACGGAGAGGCTGCTAAAATCTCAGTGCGAATGGAAGCTGCCTGGATTTCAAAGAACTATGGTGACGATCTGTACCTACAATGCACGTACACTTGCATCCGAGTCTTCGATAGAAGACTTGCTCATGCAAGGAAGATAGATAAGGTACGACGTCATCGGCCTGGCCCAGACGAGAAAACGCCACCTTTTCAATGAGGTCTATAACATCGGAGAACTGTTCCTAGGAACATGCGACAGTAGAGGAGTCGGCTGCATCGGCGTTCTCGTCAACACGAGTTCCTCCATGAACATCAACTCATTCGAACAACTTACAACCCGAATCGGACGTTTACGATTAAAAAGACGTGGATCAATTCCCGCTTTGACACAATCTTCGTCGTTTACGCGTCGACATCAAACTGTGACGAAGAAGAAGTCGAGGCGTTCTATATGGACTTGGAGAAGTCCTACAGAGAAGACCATACATACTTCAAGGTTATCATTGGAGATCTACGATTATTACTCAGATCTCTTCAGCAACCACGTAATTCTGCCCTCATATGAAATAAAGGAGGATGGATATGTCGTGCCACCGGTTCTTCCTTCTGAAATCCGATGTGCTATTTCGTAGGTGAGAAATGGAAGAGTACCAGGTCCAGAAGGGATAAGATCTAAACACCTAAAGAACCTTCCATCAGTCCTCATAAACACACTGGCTCGATTCCTCACACGTTACCTGTCTGAATGCAAGGTTCCTACTCAGTGGATGACCAACAAGACCGTGTTATTGTTCAAGAAGGGTGACCTACACGATATCGGCAACTATCGCCTAATCTGCTTACTGTCTGTCGTCTACAAACTTTTCGCTCGTATCATCCTAGACAGGATTGACAGAACACCGAATGAAGGTGACCAAAAGAGCAAGCAGGATTTCGGAACTTATAAGCGAGATGGACCAAATACACACGATAAGAAGACTCGCTGGAGTGCCGCGAGAGTATGAGTGACCCTAACATGATGCCGTTACCAAACATTTATTCGCGTGACGCTTCGGCATATTCGTCTTTCTCAGAGTTCATGATTTGAGTTGATAGTCCAATGTCGTTGGTCTTGTCGATGTGGTGTCTTCATTGTCGTAGCGAGTCGAATCTTCCTCAGTGGAACACAGCTTGAATAAGGCACTCATCCGGCGGCGCTGTCCCACGTAGGGCGGTCGTTGTTGATCTTGGTTGTCCTATGATAATAATTTTTTTCAAGGGACAATCCGTCTACAGCAGTCGAACTGTAAGCTAAATTGACAAAGAAACAATTATGGAAGCCCTGAGAAGCCAGGGCATCTCTACCTTGGTATATTAAGATTCTTCGTGAGCTGTATCAAAATTTCACAACCAAGATATCACCATTCTACAACGATATTAACGCCAACGTTAAAAGAGGGATTAAGCAAGGCGAGCGACATCATCTTGCAAAATTATTTACCGCCACCCTCCAGAATGTCACACGAACTCCGTAATGGGACAATATGGGAGTGAAAATCGATGGTAAGCAATTACACCATCTTCGTTTTGCTGTTGACATCGTTCTTATATCACCAAACATTAACTAGGCGGAATGAATCCTTGCTGATTTTGATAAAGCCTATGGAAAGACTGACCTTCGTCTATTTCTCACAAAAACGATGCTCATGAGAAAAAACTAGTTTCACATGCCTCATTAACGCTCAAAGAAAATAGTACCTCCGAATGCTCCAGCTGCGTTTATCTTCCTTAGGAAGACAACATGATGAACGACTTATCTCCACCAGAGCTGAGCAGGATAAACCGAGTCGCTTACGGAGCTTTCAAGAACGTCGAGGATGTAGTGAAGAGAAGGGAAAACCTACGACTTCTTGCCCATATTTTCCACTCCATCATTCTTCCTACTTTGACATCCAGGGCAGAATCCTGGTCGTTGTGTAAGCAGGATCAAAGATCACTCAACGTTATCGAACGTGCAGTCGAAAAAGCGGTTCCATGAGTATCTCGCATTGCGCAAGCAAGGAAAGTGGTCCGGAGCTCTGATCTACATAAGCGATCAAAAACCAAAAAACGCCTTTCTACGAGCTATACTATCGAAAATAAGGTGAGCCGTACACATAATGCTTATGAACGACAATCGATCGACAAGAGCCGTTGGTGAGTGCATTCGTCAGGATGTCAAACGTACTGCAGGGAGACCTGATGATTGGAGTTCTTAATGAAAACCCTAGAAGAAAGGTAGGATACCCAACGAGTCTCTAGAGCGAGCAAAACCCAGTAAGCTACTCTTGCACACAGAAAAAGAAGATTTGCTGTCGCCCGTGCCAGTTACGCGACGATCAACGAGATGACAGGTCATACAAGTGATATAGGTAAAACTCTGTGAGGTAGATTTCAAAAAATAACTGGAGTACAACCACAACGTTGCTGAGATATTTGCAAAACTCTGGACCGCAGGTGTCTATGGTGGGGAACGAACGCGCTATTATCCTTTCCGGGGAGTAACGCGTTCACCACCACACCATGCGGGTCCTTTGTTCCGCACGTCTCTCAGCTATTTCTATCGATCTTTTTGCTATGCCGATTTGCGCTCTCCAGATCAACCCCGCTGACGGGTGATTGCTGTGGCAGAAAGATCGATAGAAATAGCTGAGAGACGTGCGGAACAAAGGACCCGCATGGTGTGGTGGTGAACGCGTTACTCCCCGGAAAGGATAATAGCGCGTTCGTTCCCCACCATAGACACCTGCGGTCCAGAGTTTTGCAAATATCTCAGCAACGTTGTGGTTGTATTTCGCTTAGTAACCTGCCATGAAAATTATAGAAGGCAGAAAACAAAACGTTAAACATAATAACTGGAGTACTTATACAGAACAATATGGCGAGCGTTTAGAAGCTAATTGCTGCGCAAATAAAAATGATGCATTAACCATAATAATGCTGAGATATTTACAAAACTCCGGACCGCTGGTGTCTGCGGTGTGGACCAAACACGCTTTTACCCTTTCTGGTTGTTAACCCTTTCACCACCACATCATCCGGGTCCCTCGTTTCGCCTTTCTGTCAGCAGTGTTATTGACTTTTAGGTGCTATCAGTCTATTCAGACTCAATCAGACTAGTACAACTCAGTTGCACGGCTGAGAGAAAGACGAATCGAAGGACTCGCATGGTGTAGTAGTGAATGCGTTACTACCGGAAAGAGTAACAGCGTTTTCTGTCCACACCGCAGACACCAGCGGTTCGGAGTTTTGCAAATATCTCGGCATCATTATGATTATATTTAACACAATATTCTGCCATTAAAGAGTAGTAGGTAGTAAATAAAATTGACAACATTATTAGGCTTTTTATGCCGTGGTTATGAAAGCACTCGGCTGAGTAGGTTACGCGTCAATTTGGCTTTTCTAGGCCCTGAAAAAGTCCAAACCACCAAAACGGTAGCTACTGTGAATGAATAACTACTGAACTAACAAGCTCTAGTTTCTCAGCGAGTAAACAGTGAATTGTTGAACACCACACAATTCATTCCTTTATGTACTAACGAGTCGTTAGTAAATAATTTGTTGTTATTGATATTTCAGCAATCGCTTTTGGTTAGATGCTTTACCCATGTCTATAACCTCCTAAGAAGGATAGATACGTCGTATCCGAATTTACCTCTTCTGGGGTTCGACTTGTAACCATATTTTTGAAAATCATACAACATCCGATTCTGAGAGGGGATCACTTCCTAATATTTCAAAAACCTTCGGAAAACTTCCACCAACACAATAACAGTGCTTTTCAAGCATCAAATGTTACAACGCAACTTATTTTGTGGATAAAATACATTAGAAAGTAAATAAAGAATAAATGTCTCAATGTTGATCAATCCTTGAGGGATGCGCCATGAATTCCTTTTCATTAAGCACCGTTGGAGGTGATTGAATGTGTATCAAACCTTGACGTGGCCTACCGATGTATCGAGCCAGTCCGCTATCCTTACAGACAAGTCTAGTACCAATTTGCCGACTCTGCAGGGACGAATGGCTTGATGAGTCTTGGGCATTGGGATCTATCCTATGTGCATTGCAGGATGGCTCTGACAGCTGCGCAACGCACGTCCTTCTAGAACCCAGTACGACCAAATTATTCCTCAGGAAGATAATTCTCAAAGCCTTTCGCGGCAAATATTGATGTTCAGTGCACAGGCAGTGACCTTCTAGATAACAAAGTTTTTTCTCTAACACTCTACTAGATCCGTATTAAACACTTCCGTCTTTCCTTTGTTACAGTATGATGACAAGCCTTGAACGAAGAAGAGTGTGTAAGTCGTTGTCGAACCACGGCTTTTTAATTGAAAACACGCGACTGATGTCACTAATTTTCGAAAATCAGCTTTCATTCAACGTCGTCATGATTAATCATTGCTTTTTGGATTGAGTTTACACAAAACTGTTACAAACACTTAATTCTGGCTAACGTTTCGCCGTCTTCACTTTCTTCTCAGCAGCAGTAATGTGATTCCATTGCCCAAGGAAGTTCATCCTTATGGTGCGAGTGTTCGTAATTTCATAAAGTTAAAGCCAACGGAGCACCTGTCGAATGAAGTTACCTCAGCCGGAAGCGTTTTTTTGTGCCCACAATGCGGTTATGGAGACCAATATCGAAAGGATAAATGACTGTGGGTAATCGGCTTGGAAATTTTTGGCTCTGAAGAAGTCGAAGACATCAAAGCATTAGCCTCAATAAGGCTTCTTTAATACCTCCTGTAAACTCAATAACCTAAGATAACAGTTATGTCGCTAATCTTTCCAAATAATTGATGCTCACGAACAAGTGTAAGTTTATATATGAAGGCCAGCCCTACCGCAGCATTTTCGAAGAAGTAGGCCTTTTACGAAGTACGTATAATGAACAGGGTCTTCTAGTTTGGTTAGCTTGATAACACTCTGTTTCTTTTTTGCCTGCATGGTGTCCATATTGCAGCTACTGATGAACTGTAAGTACAAATAGTCGTCAAAGAGCTCCTAAATTTTCACTGCCTTAGACTTAGGCTGCCGTCAGGGGAATGTTTTAGTTGCTATTTCATCCAAAGTCGCCCACCTTTCTCAAATATGCTATATCACTGGATTCTGACAAGAAAGTAGTTCTACATTTTCACTGTTCCAAAGTTGTGTCTACGAAATGGTGGCTCCCATGAGAGACCTGGTATAGTTCGAAGTCACTTGCCAGGTCTTCTCGAAGTGAGCATAATATGGTAACTATTTCTGTAAATAGTTCCTACTTCTTCATGAAACAGTACGCTTCGTAGGCTACTTTTACCACCAACCACGTATATCTTTGCTTGTTAGCTATGTCTGTAAACAACATTCGCCACAAACAGGGAACATCCTCTATCTTATCGTGCATTTTCCTTGCACTGTCTGTAAACTGTTTCTTAACAGCTCTCTCATCAAGTTGCTTCGCATCTGGCCGAAAAACACTCTGTAGCGTCTTTCTATCCTTGCACCTGCCCACTTGAAAAACCGATAGTTGAGAGCATTTGTACAAAAACATTAGCTGGGAAAATTTGACGAAGGCGTCGAAACGTTAGCAGAAATAAATCTGTTTATCAACCTTGTGCAAGGTCGAAATTTAAATAAAAGAAGGACAAAGCTCCCAGAGTTGATCAATCTTTGAGGGATGCGTGATGCGTTCAACTTCATCAAGCATCGTTTGGAGGTGATTGAATGCATATCTGGCCTTTACAATGACTCGCGGTGGCCTATCGATGTATGGAGCCAGTGCTGCTATCCTCCCAGACAAGTCTGGTACCAATTTCCTGACCCCGAAGGGATAGAAGGCTTGGTGGACCATGGGGGCGGGAATCGATTCCACGTGTGTTGCAGGGCGCCTCCGACCACTGCGCCACGTATACTTCTGTTGCGCAATCGATAACCCATACTCAAATGAAGAGTACTTAATTGTTACATTTAACGTCGTAACAGTTATCCAACGTCCAGCTAGCTATAACTGTAACTGATCTGATTACTAAACCAAATGAACGACAAAATCTCTGATTACAGGGTGGTTACCTGTATCGGAGATCGAGTGTGTATAAAGTACTTCCAAAGCTTTTCAATCGAGTAATGATTCTGGGATCTTAACTTGCTCCTTACTCATGAGTAACTATTGTTATTACAACTTTTGATTACCAATTACTTCCTATTATTTATTACTTCTTACATACTTCAGTGGCCACACTCCGCAAAGTTCAATTCATATTACGAGTTCAAGCGCAATTCATATTCGATGCCGTTGAAGACCAGAGAACGACATCCAGGAGGACACGCCCAATCACGATGATAGAGCTTCTCTGATAATATTCTCCGGCTAGTACACACTCCCAACGGTTTACCGCCTCATCGTTGCTGGGAGGTGTTCCTGGGTGTCAGACTGCGATGAACAGCGGGGTATTCATCCCCCAGCAGGGTCTCCCAAGCTGAGAAAGAGTCCGGCATTTCCGTCAGGAAACCCAGCTAGGAGAAAGCCAATACCAGGACCCACTACCATCCTGGTACCAAACTGGTCGCATGGTAGCAAATCTCCTTCTGATCCACAAGGGCTGCAACTGCCCGTCGTGGGCAAGACCTGGGGCAGACTTTGGCTAGGCTGACCTCAAGACTCTAGGGAACCATAATGGCTTAACCACCAAATCTCCGAAAAATGGAGATTATGCTGGGAACCACACAAGTGAGGACGGGCCATTCAAGTATCAAGTAAGTAAGTACACACTACTGAAGCTAACTAACAGAGTGAATCGCTGCTTGCTGAAGTTCACGCTCATTACCAGATTGTCACCACAGGCAGAGACCGCCGTCGTTCGTAGACTGGAGAGAACTTTGCTATCTTGAGAAGAGTACTTCATTCATAGTCTTTCTTTTGTATAGTTCCAACACAACGGATACCCTACTACAATTAACAGACGCTTATACAGTAAAATTACTCCTGAATGCTTAGGAAATAATAGGATGGATAGAAATATATCAAAACGAGAGCCAAAAAGCATCGTGGAGAACTAAGAACTCTGATATCAGAACAATCTGGTTACCTAGTCTCAATTTCCGAGTAAATTCTGTCATTACACCAACTAAATTTTCGTTACCGTCGTTCCGATGTTTTTTTTCTGTGGAGAACAATGAGAGAACTTCACGCGTGTTTGCTCACTCTATGCACGTTCGTTTCTTTCTTTTTTCTCTTTTTCTCTTTTTTTTTACTACCTATGTACTAAATTGTTCGTTACTTGTTCTCATTTTCAATCTCCCAGTTGACTCAAGCCCTTTGCAGAAATGACGGGTCGATCGAGTTACTTATTTTTACTGGCATTGTTTGTTGTTTCCATGATAGAGGTTTGCATTAAAGGTTCGCCTTCTATAATCTATTGGGTTTCAGTTTCTTGCTGTGTCTTTTTTCTTTCCGTTGTTTCCCACAGTATTCTCCCTCAAAGACATTTGTCGGCGTTGACGGGTATTTGAGGGCTAAGTTCTTGAATAGCTAGTACTTGAGTAGCCCCCTCTCCCTCCTCAGTATGGTCTTCAAATCACTTCTACTTTTCTGGCTTACCTATCTTTTTTCTCTCAATTCCGACGAAACATTTTGCCAGTGTGTTCCCATGCCTTTGCTATACGTAGCAGCCATTCCATTGACCGGGGGAAAATTTGCCAGTTTAAAACTGGATTTCTTTCAAAATGGCCACGATTGTTTTCTTAGTTGTCTATTACTTGGGCTTTCGAAGCAAAGTGCTGATCTCCGAAGCCTGGATGGCCTTGAAGCGCGTTGAACCACAACCCCACCACATCCGAGTTCAATACCCAGGAACCACTTTTTTACCCACATTGACACAGTTGACCCTTTAGCAAGTTGTTAAATAAGTGGTGATTATGTTCACTTGTACAGTTCCAGCTAATGTTGATGATCGTGACGCTGAAGAATTCCGCGAAGAGTTCGGAGATGAACCCCAAGCTGATGTTAGGTAAGTTTCTTTAAGTTTTGTATTTGGTGTTCTTTACTTTAAAACATGTTAGTTGTTAAATTCTAGTCAACAAATGGAGGAGGAACACGTGGAACTTCGAGAAGGTTCGCATTTCAGTAGCACGAAACCCAAGACACTGACTAGGAAGACATTACCCAGTTTACGATTCTTGTACTGGTACGTTTACTTTTTTTGTTTATTGATCGGCATCAAAATCGAGGTGTGATCTCACTAATCATCACTTTCATGCCATATTGGTTTTTAATTTCATTCGGCTTAGACCACATTTTCAAGAGAACATCTCCTATTTTGAAATCACATAACGTTCTATCAAGATCAGGCATATTTACAACTATAGAGTCTTCGATGCAGGTGGCTAGCTGTTTGGTTATCACGTTTTTTTCGTAAATATTGATTTAGTAATCCCTTCATCTATTGATACATCTTTTGCGGCTCTGCTATTCCGTGTTCGTGTTTTCACGACTTTTTTCCCGGCTTTTTGGCTTGAAAACCTAGTAATTTGTACTCTATTTGGTCTACAAAGTAGCGTTCATACAGTTGCATTCGAAAAGTTGCTTATCATTTCTATGAACGTCTTTTTTTCGTAGCCACCATTAAGATGTGCACTCATGGTGACATTTAACGACGATTTTTTATCTTGGTCGGAAAGCACAATAGAAATGTCCTATACAAGAATGATGATATTGTTTGTGCCGTTCAAAAGCATGGAACTCATCGAACGGCTTTGGCACGAAAGAAACAAGGACATTTGGTGACTTTACTGGTGCCAACTCTAGTCACTCTTGTCAGTAGAGCATTTATTGGGTTGTAACGTAAAGTAATTTCCAGTGAAAGTGTAAGGAAATGCAATTTGCTGATATAATTGGTAACAGTCCACGGTTTACCGCCTCATCGTGGGTGGAAGGTTTTCCTGGGTGTTTGCGTGCGGAGGGATGCATCCCACGGAGAAGGCCTTCCAGACTGAGGAGTCCGGCCTTTCTATTAGGAAGCCAAACGAAGAGTAAACCAACACAAGGAACCATCATTGTCCTGGTATCAAACTAGTCCCATGGTTGCAAATTTCCCTCGGATCCACAAGAGCAGTGACTGGCTGTGGTGGTGGCGACGTGGGGCAGATCTTAGGTAGGCTGACTTCGGGACTGCAGAGAACCAAAGTGGCTAAACCAGAACTCTGAAGAAGTGGATATTATGCTGAGGTCTACACTGCTAGTAAAGACGGGCCATCCAATATGTGAGTAAGTAATTGGTAACAGTGGAATCAGAGTGAGCACCGAATCATCTACTGTCCATGCGACCGTTAGTCCATGAAGAATCAAGTTCGAGACGAGAACCACATTTGCTTCTCAAGAACAAAGACTTTTCCTACATTAATTTCCTTCGCAAGGTTTAGATCTTGATCTGATGCTAATTAAACCTGCTTTTTTCTTAACCTTTAGTTCAATTCCAGTCTACTAACAGTGTTTTAGCATTTCTTGTGGATACAAACAGGCTTATGAACAGTTCTCAATGGCTGTTCACGAGAAGTATCCTGAAATGCCAATCGAAGGAAGCAACTATCCGGCTGATAAATGGAAGGAGTATCTTGCGCATGTGATTTTTCTTCCATTTTCTAAAGCTCTTATACAACAAACTTGTGTGTGCTGATCAAATGATTTCAGACCATCAATATCCTGAAGATTGCTGCCATTGCTATGATTATCACAGGAAGGAATCCATTTTTAAACATCGGATTGGGTGAACCAGCTATACTACTATGGGCGCAGTCAAACAAGGTATTGTGGTTTTTATATATTCCTACAAACGGTTTACTGCCTCATCGTGGCTGGGAAATGTTCCTGGGTGTCGGACTGCGATGTACAGCGGGGGGATTCGTCCCCCCGCCGAGGTATCCCAGGCTGATAACGAATCCGACGTCCCCATCAGGAAACGTAGCTAAGACTAAACCAACACCAGGATCCACTACCGTTCCGGTGTCAAAGTCGAATGGTGGCAAATCTCCCTCTGATCCACAAGGGCTGCGACTGCCTCTGGTGGTGAAATTCTGGGGCAGACTTTGGCCATGTTGACCTTGAGATTCCAGGAAACCACAATGGCTTAACCAGCAAATCTCCGAAAAAAATAGAGATAATGCTGGGGCCCGCACTACCAGTGAGAACGGGCGATCCATGTATCCATGTAATTATTATAGGCAGGTTTTACATTGTCTGATATTACCTACCACTAATTAATCGGTATTCACGACTATAGAATAATTTGAATACTAGTTCATATAGAGCTTTACAACTCACAGAGTGTCCTAAAGACCAGCAACTAGCAAAATCCTAAGGACTATTCACAATCTGGTTCTAGATCATGTATAGGTAATTGGAAGAGTTTTTTCACCTTGGATTGGAAATTGCGCAAAATACATTGGCATTATGTTAAGAAAACATTGGATTAGTTTAGATATCCGCATGTATGATGTTGTTTCTTCTGACCAACATGGTTGAAAGCACACTCATGTCAACTGGAGCGTTTGAGATCTATCTCGACAAAGAACAAATATGGAGTAAACTTGAAAGCGGTCGCGTGCCCTCCCCTCAAGAACTTATTCAGGTAGCAAATTTTCACTGTTGATTTTTTTCTTAATTTCTGTAGTCATAAATCATATGTGCAGATGATCGACTCACAGTTGGAGTTGTCTGGAAAAGGACTCGGTGGTGGTTCTGGTTTTGGCGACTTCAAACAGTAGTAGAGAAACGTCCTCTTTTCTTTTTGCTCATGGCTTTTTTCTGCGTATTCGTTGATATTGGGTTACAAGTATCTGTAGATAGCTAGCGACAATTGACATGTTTTATCACACTTTCGCAACAAATGCGGTGCCTGCTGAATTTTTTCTTTACTAATTTGGTTTCACATTTGATGTTTGAACTCGGTCGCATGACTAACGTCATCGAACTCGATTATTTCACAATCATAAGGCACTATGCCATGCTATACAATGAATTCCAGATGGAACACTGCTTCATCTAACACTGATCTGGCTTATTCGTTTGGTTGTGTGTATGTTGTTCATCGCTTTTCCATAAATATTCATTGTGAACCGTATAGAACAGAAAGTGTGCATAAATCCGTGGACATAGCGCTAACCTACCTATGTAACCACTTATTTACCCTAGTCAGCAATAACTTGTGACGATAATCGTGGCATGACCAAACATCGCGAAGCAAATTGTGTCTGTTTGGCGAGTATATATGTACTTCGAATAGTTAATAATGACATACGATAAATGTGTTAGTTGACAAATTAAATCTTAGTAGGAACAAGCTAGTAGAAACAAGTTCTAGCAGGACTTATATCACGATTAATCGACTAGGTCTTTATGGTGATTGCGGTCTCTTCAGTTGTTAGATAATCCTCAAGCCTTCATCTCCTGGATTTGCTTGATTAAGTAGGCTTTTTCATCGTTGAACTGTTCATCATCAGTACGTTCGGTATGAAACTGAGCGAGAAAGTCCACCTGAAAATCTCAGCGAGCAGTGTTTGACACAAAAGCACTTGGATAATCATATCATTAACCAGTTTTTCTCGATTCCTTAACAAAATATCAGCGATAGGTCGAGGTTTATTGGGATTCGCAACGAAAACCTGAACGGTGCCACTATTCATTTATTCTTCAGTACAGCAAACCACGATAAAAGCAAAGCAAAATAAACTCGTGGTCTTTAGAGCTTACCTTGAACACATGGAAAGCTTCAAACTGTATACTTCGGCTTTTCTCTCGAAGCAACTCCATCATCAGTTTAAGGTTTTCGGGATTTGAAATGTATCGAGTCATCACGTTGAAGTTATGTCGATCAAGTAATAATTCCCCGAGTAGCTGCAAACAACTTTATACAAATGTAAGAAGGCGAAATGTCAGCTTATTGGTAGGCATCGTTAGTATTTTGAAAAACTGACGAAGAAAAGGTAAGTTGCTATTTATGATACCCATATTGGATAAAGAATGGAAGACTATTTGAAGTGAGCTTTATATTAATTAGTTAACAGGCAATGATATGTTTGTCCCGATTCGGTAATTGCAGCAATCATTGTCATGTAGGATTTCAACTTAGAATGCAGTAAGTTTCGACAAATTCACAAGAGCTATGAATTACCTCTGGTGCACATCTAGGTACGCCAAGCTTTGGTGGTTTCAAAATTCGAAGGGAAACTATTCTTGATCAGCATCTCACGTATGTGGACGAAGAGAAAGTGGCAAATCCTCAAACTATAGAACCCATGAATTCGCCCGACGAGTCTTATGAGACATTTGCAGAATAACGAAAAGAACAATAATGTGCTGAGACCCACATGAAATATCAGGACGGAATATCTGTGTCGAAATAGGTAATACGTTTGTCCAACGCTAAACACTTATTCCAATTCTTAGACCACTCTCAATCAGGTTGACGACTAATCGTGAGATTCTCTGCTATGCTGGAAGAATCCGACTTGCAAAGCGGCAAACCTCACCGATGTGTGATAAAACGTGGGAACGGTCTCTTCACATGTGCTCTAACGTGGGAATGTTCTAACTAGCCCGCCTCGAGATTCTAAAGAACACTATAGTCTAACAGAATTCAAAAATTTCAACGGCGAAAGTGGATGAGAACAGGTCTCCAGGTCGCAGTCAAACTCATACAGGAACACGAAAACTTATTGAAAACAGCCACAAGACAATGGAGAAATCGAGTAGTGTCAGAACCCGGACGATATTTGAATATTGGTTTTTTTTCAGAAGTATATTCAGTTGGCATCACAATCCATTTCAGTCTGAATAGAATTTCACTAGTAATGTCAATACACTACACAACAGAAGAAGTTCCAACGTCACGACCAAACCTAGCACAATATTCAGCATTTCTTACAAACTCTAGGGAACACCACACTGTTATCGAATATAAAGAAGGAAAATTTCTGATATATAAAAATCTACACTGAAAGAAGAAAACATTGAACTTATGAAAAACGTTGACCTAAAACGCTTACTTTAAGTGATTGTCGCCTCGTGACGTAATTTTCAGAGTTGAGCAGTTTTTGGTATTCAGTAAAGAAACGGTCGTAGTTAGCATCCAAGAATTCAGCACATAGCGTCTTATGCCGTGTGATTAAATCCTGAATCAGTGGACAAGAGATATAAGAAAGAATGAGACGACAATTCAGCATCTAGAAGTGATCGTTAAAGTGTAAAATTCAACAGTGATTACCTTGAATGTGGAGAAGGCATCAGAAGCAATGTCGAAAGCAGACAGTTCAACATATGTGAAGAATTTGTAAAAACACTCATGTTGTAAAAGTATCTGAAACATGTCCTCTGTAATTGTCCCATTGAAAAAGAACTTGATCATCAAAAAACATCTGAACCTTTGCTAGTTGATCATGCCGAATACATTCTCGTAGCATGTGTCCACACGTTATGGCGATGTCGCCATTCTGATAACTAAAATATGATGGATCCAGAAAATCGATTCATCGATTCATATAATCAAGTATTGTTTGAGATAGACGGAAAAAACGAAAACGAACCCATTTACAAGTAGGACTAGCATTTCTGGACGAGCCCCTAAGTACTCTACAGTGGGAGAACGAGTGCCGATTTGCCTGCGGAGAAGATTGTTGAATATTTGAGCAACATCCTTAAAGACTTTTGCGCTAAAAAAAGACAAGGAACCTGCTTCGTAAAGTTGGTTTCAAACCTTTTTACTCTCAAAGTCCAGTTTTGGCAAGTTTTTTATAAGCATCGGCAAAACGTTGGCGTTATATGTTTCCTGAGCAAGCTGAGCAACCTGAAATGTTGTGATATAAGTGGAAATTTTAAGAATACAATAACTCCGTAACAAAAGCATGATACCTGCTCACTGTGAGGATCTTGGGTCTCAGATCCGTAAATGATACTTTTTACCATTTGCAACCATTTGTTAACTTCTTCCACTGCTTTGTCACCTTTCTTCACACCTTGGGTCTAAAAATAACGATTATTTTGACTCTGAAACCAAACATTAATAAATAAAAAACCATAAACATATGGAAACCGAATAAAGACAACTAGTTCTTCATGAGTACCAACAGGTTTTACAAAAGAACTAGTCAGTCGAGAAACTTTTTTACCAGGAGAGAACACAGGTGGGTCTACTACACCCACTGGAACTAACTTTGGTCATGGAAATTTCATGATACCTGAGTAGAGAAAGCAATAATGTAGGCAAAAAAGCGAACACTAAAGATTCTAAGCACTCCAGACGGTTTACTGCCTCATCGTGGCTGAGAAGTGTTCTTGGGTGACGAGTCGCGATGTACAGCGGAGAATTCATCCCTTGGCATGACCTCCCAAGCTGAGGAGTGCGACGCTTCCATTAGGAAGCCCAGCTAAGAGTAAACCAATACCAGTACTAACCACCGTCATGGTAACAAACTAGTCGCATGGTAGCAAATCTCCTCCTGATTCAGAAGGGCGGCGACTGCCTGTGGTGCTGACGACCTGGAGAAGAATTTGGCCTGGCTGTCTTCAGGACTCCAGGGAACCGCAATGGCTAAACCAGTAAAACTCCGAAAAAATGGAGATTGTGATGGGGCCCACTCCATCAGTGAGGATGGGCCATCCAAGTATACAAGTATCTGAGTAAGGATTCTAAGTAGCCGATGTCTGGACCCCACTTCCTTTACTATCAAGGAATATCTTGTACCGAATCCATTCAAAGAAAGGAACACACAGGGTACTTGAAAAACGGACTTTATGATCAAAAACCTTAAATACTCGAACTGAAGTGTTCACCTTCTCAACTGCAACGAGGGCCTCTTTGAGATTTTTCACCACATCGGCCGGCGACTTGTGTGATTTGCCGAATATGGGAAGAGGCATACCTGTATGATATCGTACCAGTAACACCTATATAACATTCTTTTCGTCAAAACAGTGGTCACTAGTGTCCATTAGTAAACAACAAAAAACAACAACCTAAAAAACTTAGCAGTTTCAAAACGACCATTCAACGAGTAGCAAATTCGAGTAAATGAACGTAATCAGCATCATGAATGCTTAAGTAGCATATGTTGTTAGAATGAACACCACCATAACAACAGATATGGTGTTTTCGAGTAAAAGAAACGAAAAAAAGACAAAAAAATCCAATCACGTTACTGCTTTACGAATCGATCGATACCAGATTGGATTTAAAGGGAACAGTTCTGAACCGAAACATGAAAATGATGTTTCGAAACTTCAAAGAAACAAGTAACACGAGTATATTGAGTCGTATATGATCGAAATGAACTGACACTTTACCAATTGATAGAAGTGTTATAAACAGTAGTAAGAATCGATCAATAACTACGCTGTCAATTGATATCGAAGAATGGGGTAGTATAGTAGCGGCGAGAGTAAAATCAGCCACTGTGCTACTATGATTATACAGAGACTGGAAACTAGGGGACTGGAGGCTAGTGGGGGTTGTGGTGTGCGCAATGATCGCGACTACGTTGATGATGGTGGCGATTTGGAATTCAACAATGACACTAACAAACGCCATATTCTGAATGTGAATTCCAGATTCAACTGCATCAATAATAACGATGAAAAAACGAAAAGAAACACTCTTCGAAATAGTCACATCGGCGGCTACAACGGATATCGATTGAGAATCGAATCAATATTGTTTGACGGCAGGCTCAGCTTTTCATCTACTCTCACAAACAGCATTAAACTCCAATACAATCCAACCAATATCGATCTTTAGTTAGTATACCAAACGTGACATATTTTCACCCTACGAATATCCAGTGAACAAAGCTCACCACCTGTTTTTTACGTCCTTATGCGATTCAAATGTCTGTGAATATTACTCCTTGGCCAGATTATTGGTAACACATGGTCTCATTGAGATTGGTGTTTTGTAGACTCTTGGAGGCAAAAGCATCGAGGGACTTGTAAAATCGCCATCTTACTGCTTTTGGTGCTCGATATCTTACGTCTGCTAGCTTAACTTACTCCATATTCATCTGTTACGTTTCAATTTTTAATGATTATCATGGTACGAGAAAGAGACCTCTACAACAACATCATTGTCGTCCTTTTATGTTAAGCGATGATTTTCATGGCTCTTTAATGTTAACAGTATGGAGTGCTTTGACAGTAAGAGAGCAAAATTGCCTAGAGTTTTCATTCGCTTCTCTCCTATGCTGACCATCGAAGTCTTCGTAGCTTTCTTATTGTTCAGCAAATAGTACAGAAATGGCGCTTGTAGATAGTAAATTCCTCCCAACGGTTTACCAAATTATCGTGGCGGGAAGTGTTCCCGGGTGTCGGGATGTCATGTACAGTGGGGGATTCACGTCCTCCTAGCAGGATCTCCCAAGCTGAGAAGGAGTCTGGCGTTCCCATCAGGAAGCCCAGCTAGGAGTAAACCAATACCAGGATCCTCCACCGTTCTGGTACCAAACTGGTCGCATGGTGGCAAATCTCCCTCTGATCCACAAGGGTTGCGAATGCCTGTGGTGGTGAAGACCTAGGGCAGACTTTGGCCAGGCTGACCTCGGGATTCCAGGGAATCAAAACGGCTGAGCCAGCGAAACTCCGAAAAAATGAAAGTTTTGCCGGGACCCGCACAGTCAGTGAGGACGAGGCATCCAAGTATCCAAGTAAGTAAAATAGTAAATTACCTTGCTTTTTGCATGTGGTAGTCAGCGAGGTGATAAGCTGATGAATAACCTATACCTAATGAAGAAAACGTAGAGGTTACAATGAGATGTATGGATTCGATCTCAGAAGCAGTAAAGAGAAAATGATTTCTAGTAGTAATAACACGTTTTAATGCAGCAGAAACCGTTAAAATAGTTGTATAAACACTATAACGGCACTGACCATGGTGCTTAGATGACTCAGCATCATTTGTAGTGCGGCTTCCAAAAGTTGTTCGCTCCACTTGGTCGTATTGGGGTTTGGGATTCCGCGAGATGATCGTGCGGGATTCTTGTGATTGCGGCATTGAAGTCGTAAAATTGGGTTCAGACGTTAATGGACGTTGTTTACGTGTTTAACAAATACCTCAGTCCATTTTACCTACCTCGGCATGTACTTCCATATTGATCTCATCCACCTATCTCCACTCCTCTTCTAATTATAATACCAGACCATATCGTTGATTCTTCCTCCAAAGGTTTCCGGGGTCTCGAAAACAGGATGGTGCTCGGGGATTTGAACTACGAAAATCGAACTGATGTTGAACACATCGTTTCATCGTCAGAAGACATTATTGGAGGACCCAGATATAGTTCCCACTGCTCTGCACATAGCTTGAAGAACTGCTGTATTAAATAACTGAACACCTAAACGGCTCTGGTCCTTGTTACAAAGTTACAGGCCCGACGAAGTACCATGCTTGTTTAGTTCTGGTGAGTTCTTCTCCCAAGTCGTTATTCATATTAGCTAAGCATTCTAAGCACATGAAGGATGTGAACTCATCAATTGGATTTTCTTTTGTTAAATCCATAGTCGCATTCCTATTTCACTGGTTCCAGCAAGTAATGTTTCTGCTACTGCTATATTATATGAAAAGGTGACAATGTAGTCGCTTATATGAAGTTGGAGAGGAATTCTCCACCAACTCGTATCCCCTTCTCGTCCCAATCAAAAAACTGATTATACGACTTCAATGACGACTTTAGAACAGCTTTCATCACATACTATGTCATAGAACACAAGTTCGACGTTGTGTTATAACCGTGTGGCGATATACACGAGAGCGAAAGATACAAGCGTCAGTACCAACAACGAGAGAGAACTGGTAGACAGCGTTGTGGAGAACTGTGGAAAGAACTGAACTGACGGCTGATGGAGCAGTTTATATTCGTTCTAGAATAGGCGGAGTTTAGCTAGGGTAGTTGAAGATACAGTTTATAGAGATAGCTTGAAGAGATAGTTTGAGGCGATAGTTTGAAGAGATGGTTTGAGAGGCAGGTGGCAGAACTTCTTCTTAGGCAGTGCCATCTGATGCAGCTGATTCAATGGATGCTACAGTAGCCGCGAATGCCTTTAGCAGAAAAAGCGCCATGTGGGAAGCTCTAAGAAAGTTTTTACAGAAGACTTTGGCATTTGGAGATGACTAAGTAGTGGGAGTCAAACGCATGGTCAATGAACAACGATAGCCATTAAATGTTTTCTGTACACAACTCGGCTAGCAAATATCGTGATCATTAGTGTACTAGTACACGTACTGAGTGTCTATATGATTAACTGGTAATCCCTTTAAAGGTACGCGGGTCATGGATTCCAATAGGATGCATATCATGAGATGAACGTCTAGAACGGTTTCGCCAATCTACTATCAGTGGACGGAAATGCATTTATTTGTGTTAAATTTCGACCTGTCGTCCATTCACAACATAGTGCTCTATAAGCACTAGTGAAAAACCGTTCTTTTTACATGACATCCCTTAACGTACTACACCACTATTAAACATAACACGATAAAGCTCTCGGTGTTGATCAATCCCTGAGGCATGCGCCACGCATTCGACTACGTTAAGCATCGTTGGAGGTGACTGAATACATATCCGGCCCGAAGGGATAGAAGGCTTGGTAGGCGACGGGCGCCGGGATCGATTCCACGTGTATTGCAGGGCGTCTCCGACCACTGATGACAAACGAGCATTGATATCGTACATTATTAAACACAAATGAAAGAAATTGCGAGATTTTTCTCTACGAGAGCCTGCTGAAGAACTCGGCCCGCGGATAAAGCGTTCTATGGAGTTATATAGTGCCTTCAAAAGAAATAGATACGCGTTCATTCAGTTATTTCGTGAAAATCATTCACGCGTTCATCCAGTTATTTCGTGAAAATCACCGTACTTGAAATGCCATAATGGTGTCACATGGGAATTCATACATAATATTGTATTATCAATAAATTACCGTTGTTGAGTTTTAGCAATAATGGTCAGAGTGTTTGGCCAACAACGTCTTGCCATTTGACACAGAAAACTCACCTACTCCACAAACCCTTATGGATTTTTCCGTTCCAAGAAGTTCAACTAAATAAGCCTATATTCCGGCCGAACGTAATAACCTAAAAATAGTCTTCTTGCCAAAACCAAAAAACTTTGCACCATACCGAGAGTTTGTGCTCTTCACATCCGTTGAGTAAGTGGGACCAACATAGCGGCTCCGATGTACGACGGGGACGAAGAGATTCTTAGGATTTAAGAATCAGAAAAAGTAAATGCTAGGATCGAAGAAATAAGGATCATGGTGAGACTTCTTTTGTATTATATGTTACAGGAATGGGACGTCTAAAGTAATGTGATAGACACCTTTCTTCATACTGCACTGAAAACACTACAAACAAGACCCTGAAATGACAAAGGCGTTGATGACGCTGTAAGAAACAGTATTCCTATTCTCGGAATACTAGCGCACGACTACATCGGTAAGGAAAACATTACGAAGTGACAAAACGTTCCATGAAGATGTAAGCTGGATCTAAAGAACGTCTTAAAAGCTCTCATTCCTCAAATTTTTCACGCTATTAGAAAACACTGTTTCATAAAATAAATCAATGTGAAGCAAGTAGTGCACTGCCATTGCACATTTAGTTGACAACAAAACGGCTTTTTCTTAGAATGTCAGGCTCATCCAATGCACGGTTTTCGTTAATAAGATACAGAAAGAACATTCAATCCTGAAACGATGAAAAAGAATAAAGCTCCCGGCCTTGATAAATCACTGAGGGATGCGCCATGCAGTTGACTTCATTAAACATCGTTGGAGGTGACTGAACGCATATCATCGCGGCGATCGATCCCTGTGTATTACAAAGCGACCCCGACCACTGCGCTGCACGCTCCCTTTCTTGCTGCGATATGACATCTGTTATCCTCTTAACGAAACTATAACGACACTACAGTTGTTGCACTTGCCTAAAAAGAAAGAAAGTTGACAAAATCCAGGAGTGTAAGTCGGGATATGGTGCAACAAACGGCTTCATTTTTGAAACAGTATCAGTTTTGGAAAATCAGCTCTACATACTGGAAATAGCCCTTGTCTTCTATGACTTCTTTTCTCCTTATACAAATTGTAATGCACATTACAATTACACTTAGTGGGATACACTTTCTTTTTTCGTCGAAGGACTTGTCCTGTAGGTAGATGTTACAATCCAGAAACTAAAGAATCTGAAGGACCCAAATTTGATAAATGCAGATTAGCTAGAATTTCCAAACCTTATTCGGGAACTTTTACATGGCCATCTTCGTAACACGTTGAAGAGTACTGCCATGCGTAGGGAAACCTTTCGTGCGTTCGCGATGGCCTTCTTTTGAATCTGGCCACTTGAGAGGGAAGATGTTGTCGGTTGCATGAGATCTGTAACACGATGTTGCTTCCAAATTCCACGAAAAATACAAAGAAAAATATTGTGGTGGTCAGATCCGATTTCTTGTGGTGGCGATATTCACCGCCCACATAATTGCTTCTTGTTTAAGAGATGATGGACGTAGAAGGTCGAGACTTTATCTACTGTGACAACTTCCTTCAGGAATAATTTCTATGAAGACCCAACAGTAACCACTCACAGATAACGACACACCTCATATGATCACAGTCGCTAACGTTTAGAAAGGATCCATAACGAGTAAATCTCTATACTATCGCCAATTCACAACAAGTAGTAGTTAGATTTGCTTTGAGATCTTTAGAATTTACAAAAAGTTTTATTAGAAAATCTCCAAAACCTCTCCAACGCGATACTAAATGTCGTTAAGCTTACATAGAACAAATGCTACGTAGTGCAGTGTCAAACGCTACAATTAAATTGAAATCAAGAACTATTAGTGGAATTTCGCCTCGACAATGGTATCTCACAACGTTTGTCCCATATCCAGACTTTTTTTCAAACAAAACTTAATGACACAAATAGAGATCTTCAAACGTAGAAATTGAAGCACACCGTATTTGGCTAGAAATTGGCCATTTATAGTAAAACATTTTACTATGAAATTTGAACAAACTTGGAAAAATTTACCAGTAACAACGACTTAAAGCATCCAAGGAGAAATAGAAAACTAACAAAACGTAACTCAGAGTGCTCGTCCTCAATGTGGGAGCCTATTATAATGTAATAGGCATACCTAACGGGGATTTTAGCCGGAATATTGGGGCATTAAACTATAGCATAAAATTCTGTGCAACTGTTAAAATCACAAAGTTAATAACAGAAAAAAGCTGGACAACGAATGAGTATGTAAAACAGTCTATGAACAACGAGATAATATAACATAAACGCACCTACTAGCAAAATAACTTTGGAAGCCGTTTTGAAAATCGCGATCACCTGGATATACATCTTTGGAAGAACAAAGATAATAGAAAAACATCTGACGCAAAAGCAGAATCAAAAAGCGTAACTGGCTGGAACTATGGAAGTGCATTAAACAACAGTGAGTCAAAAAAAATGTGCATCGTGCTAGGAAACAATGCCTATTGAAGAAGAGGCAATGCGGTTTCGTGTGGCGACAAATCGACATCCTCATCGTGACGGACTTCTTCTAATGGCACATCCAGTAAAGGATCATCTTGTAAGGTACCTCCATAGACCATCAACACGGTAGTGAGAATTCCCATCGCAAGCGCCTTAAACGACAAAATAACACTGAGTGATAGCTACTCACTGATCGACTAATCAGCAGATGATTTTTTTTTCATTCTACAATAGAAAAAGCCGACAACTTGTTAGCTATTATCGCATGCTTTTTAAGAAAGTCGGATCTTGACGAAATACTTACAATCATGAGTAAAAATTTTGAAGACAAACAGCAACAACGGCGATTAACGGTAAAAAGAGGAAAACAGATACCGTCAGTGAGCTATACGAAGGAGTGATAAAAGAATAAAGAATTAAGCTCTCGGCGTTGATCAATCTCCGAGGGATACACCATGCATCCGACTTAAGTTAGCACTGCTGGAGGTTGTTGAATGCATATCTGGACTTTACAATGACTTGCGGTGTCCTACCGATGCATCGGGCAAGTGCTGCTATCCTCCCAGACAAGTCTGGTACCAAGCTGCCAACCCCGGAGGGATGGAAGACTTGGTGAGCCTATGAGGTGGCGATCGATTCCATGGATATTGTAAGTCGCCTCCGACCAGTGCGCTACACGCGTTCTCGATGGAGTGATGAAAGCGTTTAAACATCCAAACAGCAACCATGCCTGTATCGTGCGCATTCGAACTTCACGTCTACTATTGATGAACGAGAATGAAACACTCATAGACATTGCAAAGCGGAATGCACCTAATTGGTCACTAAGAATTGAAACAGAGTCGTAGACAAAAAAAAAACACATGTAAACCAAAAAAGGGTGCGCTATCTGCAAAGTATATGGTTTGGTCATGAAGTACTTATGAACTAACGCGATTACCTGTCCAATAATTGAGAACGTAAGAAATAGATCGGCTAGTAATTTGTTGGAGTAAAGTAGACAACTACCACTCTGGAAAAAATGTTAGTATTTGTTCTTAAATTATCGAGATGAGATTCATTCATACCTCGGAATCTCCACATAGTTCTGACTGGTAACGAATGCAGCTCACATCAAACATCCATCCGAATAGTACTGGTGCAGGGATGGTTCCTATGACACGAACGAGAATTCCTTGAATACCCAACGCAAATGATCGATCATTATAGTCCACCGTCCTGTATACATGGAGTAAACACTAATAAATACTTCTTTATAAACCAATGTAAGACACATACCTTAAAATAACCGATATAATAGGAACTCCTACGGCAAATGTGCAGAGTGACAAAGGAGCGAAAATAATGAGAAAACCTAGAAGACCTTTGCATTTGGACTCACACAACCCTTTTTTCACTTGTCGCACATGAAGACGAGAAGTTTCGACCACACACGAGCAATTAGAATACACCTATAAATATCAAATGAAATCAGATTTATGGTTCAGCCATGGAGAACACAAACCTTCTGCATTGGGGTATAGGGTTCTGAACACCCAGCAAAGCAAGGTGAGTAGTATGAAAGTTGCCGCCCATCCAGAAATTCAGCACAAACTGGACGGAACTCAGCTTCACTACATAAGCAATGAGAGTTGCATGTGCTACGTAATGATGGTTCAATATCCGAGTAGTTCCCGACGGATATTTGACCATCACTTAATTTCTGTGGTATATTAAAACACAACTATAAATGGCCACAGTAACGTCTCACCGATCTGGGTACGTCGTTTCAACACCAACAAGAGGATCATGCGGACAGTAAATAAGATACATTGGAGTTAGTAATAGTGATAAGAACAACAATCCCACAGAGAGTTTTAGTGTTGTAACACAATTCAATCGGAAGTACTGCACTATGAAACCAGATATCATACAACCAACTCCAGCCATCGGTACCATAATGCACCCTTAACATGTGAAGCATAAAAAACTTGGATCGTTAGGGTACTTATAATTTCGTTGCTTACTTTTTAGATACCACCATGTCTTCTCAACAAAAACACACCTATCAATAAGCTTGACCTGCTTGGTGGAACATTGAACTGCCGCTCCAAGTATTTTGACATAAAAGATGAAGCACCGGTTATCACGAGACCTGATAAATCCATGTTCATAACAGAAAAGTGAGAAAAAAAGAATAAGGTTAAAACTTACTGTCAATAGCCATTGCAAGGGTTATGAGCATGAATGGGGCATTGGTGAGAATACGGTAAATTGCTATAGGAATATGTCGCACATCAAGCCAAAGTTTATACCAAAGCGGTCCTCTACCACGTATAGTAATAGAATTATACAATAGCGATGAACTGTCTAAACAACAAATAGCGGTTTTCCAACACGTGGTGGATACAAACTCTTACCTTGCAACGGAGCATCTTGATACAGTGCTCCTGTTTTGTTTGTACCAGGAAGACCACAGCATTCAGGAGTACGTCTTCGTCCAGCTTGTATTGCTTCGACTAAGCGATTCCTAGACAACAAAGATGAGAACTTCTTTCTTTTTTTATACAATACGGGCCTTACCTATGCCACTTCAGAGACTCTGGTAAGACTTTCGGCAGACATACAATTGGAACTACTGCAGTCATCGCGACCAAAGAAGCAATAACGAAACCTATCCACCAAGCTCCCACCCATGAAGGATCCGTTTCGTCTCCACTAACTCTGAAACTGGGAAACACATGCTTGCGACAATATTCTTGGAAAAAATAAAGTGTTGACATGTCGCCTTGTAGCAAGGCAAGGTGACATTAAGTTTGCAACTCTAAGCTGTTTACGAAGATTTCCCCTTGGCGCCTAACGAAGATCTTAGGTGAAGCACAACCAGTTGAACAAGCACGATTCTGAAAGGGATTCTGCTGCATGGACCACATCCAAACCGCACCAAAGGTCAGCGAAGTTTGTCAGAAGTACCATCCGCCCCATGTCCTGAGCTTTATCGACTATAAAAAAGCGTTTAGCAGCGTCGAAACAAAATGCAATCCTATCAGTGTTCGTTGACCAAGGAACGAATCTGCCGTATATAGGAACGTAAATAGACTATTAACGGAACTGTGGTCCAAATATACAACCTTTTCATCGAGATGTCACCATTCTCATAGAAAACGGGGTTTAATAAGGCAGCACAATATTGACAAAGTTCTTCACTGCCGCATTGCAGCGGATAAGGAAGTGAGCGAATCAGGACCGGAGTAGAGGGAAAATTCCTAGTAAATCCTCATTTTATGGATCTGACCTTGATCTTTACGAGAAATACCTGTGAATCAGAGGTGATGCTGAATGGACTCAACGATGCGGGAAAAAGATTGGATTGTATATAAATAGGAAGAAGATCCAGTTCATGAAGAACCCATGGTGCGAAGCGAACAAACCGAACTCGATGGTCCTCCGATTACAGCACCAGCTTTGTACTGTAAGTTGGACGTTCAATGAACATGGGCAGCAACATGAGGGAGGAATTGAACAGAAGAAGGAGAGAAGGATCAGACGACTTCGGAAATCCAACAAGTCGCAAGCCACCGATCAACTAACAAACCCAAAATTCTGCGCTCAGCGCTTCGATTCAATAGTCTCCGAGAGCTCCGTTATTCAGCGGAGATGTGAGTTAATATTTCAACCACGCCAAGAAATCTGCGCAAAACTCAAAGAGCGCAATGACGATATCCTCCGAAATTTAACCGCCATTCATAAAGTTTGGCCGAAATGCGCAGCTCAGATCTTCGAAACCTATTCCATTTTCGGGACCCAGGAATATCTACATCGATAGCGGACCAAAGGTGGGAACAGATGCGAAATGGACGAAATGAACAGCGGGGTGGCAAAGCAAACGTCCTCTTAGAAGAACACCCAAACGATGGGCGAGAGTAATCGTGGTAAACTACAGCGATCTGCGCTCGCAGATGGAGACGATTTCAGTATTATGGAATCGGCTTTGTGGACATCAACATGTTCGGAGCAGACCACCACCATGGAGGACGACTGAGCCGGACAGAAATGAATGGAAATTATGCTGAAGCTAGCGCAACTAGTGAAGACGACCCATTCAAGTATTCAAGCAAGAAAGTAAGTGATTTGATGAAGGATCCAGCGCAACAATATGACAATGTATTTTGGCAGACGATAGAAATAAACATACCGCAATATTTGCTCAGCTGGAAGATGCCAAAAATCAGTATGGTATTTCAAAAATGTGCTTGCAGTGAGAAATCCCGCGGCTGGACCGAAGACAGCAAACGAATAGAAAATACCTAAAAAAATTTTAATAGTCAACATGGCATAGAAAGGCAGATTGGTGTAACTCACCAACAAACAATGACGAAAGAGCCTTGCCCACATTTTCATCGATGTAAGAAACACCAATTGTAAACAGAGGAGTAGCGCCGATGCCATGTAGGAAGTGCGCCACACAGAAGAGGAACACGAACCGAAAAGTCCCAGGCTAAACCGTGTAGAATTACACACGAAGAAATGTTAATGAAAAAGTAAGACACAAGCGAACCTGGTTTTGTTTTTCTGCTGCACAATAAGAGAGAGCCATTGCATTTGCGTCTGAGAAATTCCATAGTGCTACGAAAAAAAAGATATACGATCTCTGCAGAATATGCAAAGAAAACGACGTAAAATTTTACTTTGAAAAACAAATGATCACCTTTCGTGGAACAGGAACCGAATGACTTATTGTCTTGAGTTGCAGAATAACTATCGGCTAACATATGAGGCGTTGAAAATAATATGCTACCAAAGGCAATAAGAGCAAGTCCAGCACCAAGTACGGACGGTTTACTATGCCGCCCACCAAAATAAGACACCGGTATACAGAATAAAACATATCCAAAATCATAGAACTAAAGCGGGCTAGTGACGCTTAAGGGATTAATTATTAAATCTCACATAAACCTGCCAACAACAAATACCTGCACAATACGACCCATGGTACTAGTACTCAGTTTGAAGCGACGTTCTATCGATGAAATAGCAGATGGTACAAGACCGTTCACTACAATACCTTGTACTGCACAATACCAGCAAAGCAATATGATCATCCATTTCCGAGAACCCAAAAACGACAGCCAAGTTGGCCTAAAACAAATCCAACCTTGTGCCTCCATGAACCAATTTCGCTTGTAATAAACTTAACAAATCATAAACAAACAAAACCTCCCAACGGTTTACCACCTCATCATGGTTGGAATGTTCCTGGGTGTCGGAGTGTGATGTACAGCGGGGATATTCATCCCCGGGCAGGGTCTCCCAAGATAAGTTGTTCAGCATTTCCATCAGGAAACCCAGCTAAGAGTAAACCAATACTAGAATCCACCACTGTCCTGGTATCAAACTAGTCGCATGTTGGTAAATCTCCCTCTGATCCACAGAGGCCGCGATCGTCTGTGGTGGTGACAACCTGGGGCAGACTTGGCCAGGTTGACCTCGGGACTGCGGAGAAACACCATGGCTAAGCCAGCAAAACTACGAAAAAAGGAAGCTATGTTGGGGCCCATACAACCAATAAGGACGGGCGGTCCAAGTAGTAAGTAAGCACCTAAGAGTATACGAAACACAAGAAAAAAACAAAGAAAGCGATTAAATACTGCGAAAGTTTCAAAATACCTCCATCTTCCGATACCACATTGCGATTCCTTTACAAGTACACTCATCTCCATCTCTATGATTTCATTCTGCTTTTCCTAAAAAGTGAGCCATGACTGAGACATAGATGCAGTCGAGTGATTCACATTCAAATGACGAATAGCCGTAGAATTATATGGAGACTGACCTGCCACTGCCTACCATGAGCATCACGGATTCGACGTGGTTTCTCGACACTACGGTAGGGCACGCCTTGAGAAGCCTGTCGGCTGTGGCTCCTGAACAATTTCGCAGACTGTTAAAACACAAAACAGGTCTAACCAATGAACCAAATTTGCAAGTTATATTTATGCTTTTTTAAAATTTTATCGATGATTGACAAAAGTCCGGACTCATCAAAATGTAACACATTTCAACATCAAACTAGAAAAGTGGACAAATCCACGGAACAGAGTTATTATATTCAACGAAGCCTCATAAACAATAGTGGTAAAGCTTTCGGTATTGATCAATCTCTGACGGATGCACCACAAATTCTACTTCATAAAACATCGTTGCAGTGAATGAACGCTTATCTGGCCAGTACTATGACTTGCAGTGGCCTACCGATGTGGATGTCATCTGCTGACCAAGGCAAGATAGAAGGCTTGGTGAGCCTCGAGCACGGGATCGAACCAATGACCACATGCGTATTTCCGGACACCTCTTATCACTGCGCTATACATTTCCCACTAACCGGCATGAATGGTGATAATAGCATGAACTGGCTACAGCTAACTTGTACATACCATTTCGTAGCACGGCTTCGCGGCGGCGCTCCCAGATCACCAGGTGCGGATCTCGTTTCCGCGTCAGTATCTAGATCTATACTGTTCTCGGTGTCTTTCGCCATGACATGGCCTAAATTTTCACTTTACAACATGAAAAAGCTCAATAGTCCGGTAAATCAATACAAAGTGAGGTATAAAACAGTAATCTTTGCAGTAAACATTTCCAAACATGTGACATAATTATTGGAAAACCGCTACTTATTCTAATTCAAGGAGAAAGATTTCAATTTGTACAAACGTGCCACCAAACAACAAAGACAACAGATGTACGGTGAATCTCTTTGTATGAATGAGGCAAAAACTATACACTACTTTTACTCTGGTAATGCTAATAACTACAGTCAAGCAAATACTGAAGATTTTTTGTTCACATACTAAGTAGAAACTTGGAAAACAAAGATGGAGTACGTGACGCTATAATACGAAACACTCAGAGTGATTCGAAACGAGGAGTGTGATGGTCGAGCGAAGGACACGAAAGGCATTCCACTTCTAACGAACCAAATAACCACAAGGATGTAACCCACTGAACCGTGACAACGCTCGCTTTCCCCAGTAACAAGGATCCACGACAATGGCGCAACGAGTTGTACACACCTGGATGCAAAACCTTGTCACTCCACTCACGTCCCACAATGATCCACACTGATAAAGTCAAGACAACGATTTGATTGACATCAATAGATAAAAATTATCCACATACTCTCACGGGGCTAGAACAAACTGCAGCTACGGATTCGTGCGAAGCACACCTATATGGAAAAGGCACAGAGAAGATATGACTTGGTCAATGAAGGCAGTGAATCATTGAGGTTTCTACACGCTAGGGTATGGAACTAGCTCTTTCCACAAGCCATTATACATATGGGTTTATTACAAAAGAAATCAACACGCAAAGACAGACAGACGAATAAGAAAGAAAAACGTTAACATGGAAGCGGAAACAACGGTTTAGGAAAAGGAATATGTGTGGAAACCTATATGCTACATCACCTCCTCAGAGAGCATATCCTAATTATTTGGCGCATAATCGTGAGCAGGATGGTGTTTGTGGACGTAGAACTCCGGCATGCATCGAACGGTTCAGCATATCCCTCGAAATCCAGCTACACAGCCGTTTAGATCCCTAACGGGTACGCCAAAACGGCAAATATATAGACATAATATAAATAGGTTTCGAAGCAAAAATCTGACGCTCTTCATATCATCCGAGGTGCCCAATAGTAACACCGGAGCGCAACAGAGATAACCGGAGAACCTAATGGGCGACCGTAACACTCGGTTAATGACGCTATTACAGATGATATAGGTGAGACATGAAATGATTTCTCCTCAACCATCATACGATTAATCATATTTCCATCAGTTACAAATACAAAAACAATAACGTGTCCAAAATATTGTAACAGTATGTCTAGACAAAGAACAGTCATCAATAGCAATCAAGTCTTCAACATCAAATGAACTTTCATTCTAATGCTGTTAAATACTTACGAACTCGACATTCACTACACCTCAGAGCGAAACTACACATGCAATAAACAATTACACACGAGCATGCATGCTAGCTAGGAGTTCTAATAAGAGTGACTCGGCTATCAAGGATGAGCACATGTCTTTTTTACACCCATCTCGAATTGCGATTTCTCAGAGAATTCAGCCATACGACGTTCCAACTCCGGGCGAAAATGACGAACTAGACCCTGAAACAACCCCGATTCAGTGAGGAATTGTGGATGAAAAAAAACGTTATTAAAAATGTTTTGATAAGTAGCAGAATATGCAAGACCCTTGCTTTGCCCATTTTTTATCCTAACGGTGTTATCAGCAATCAGCGGTCAACAGAAATGATCTGGGAACCATAAATCGGCATTGAACCCAGAAACCAGGAAGACTGAGTGACAGAAAGTCAAAGAAAGGTTTTCGATGGTGCAGTGAATAACACGTGAGACCTAGGAACGGTTATAGCGATTTCGAGGCTCAACTGGGGTTCTGAGTTTTGCTCATATTTCAGCATCATTGTGGTTTTTGAAAACTGTCCATAATTCCTCCATTATAGAGTAGTGAAGGAGTTGAGAATCTAAGTGACATATAGAAAAAAGTGTTCGATTGCTTTAAGAATCCATACAAGTTTTATAAAATGTTTTTCCAGTCTTAGATTTGTCCAAAAGAAAACCGAGAACAAAATTTAAATTTTGAAAAATTCTAAACAAGGTTGGCATCCGCAAATTCTAATTGGGGAACATTGGGAAACATATGTCCTGGTGAACAAAATGCCACTTGTTCAATAACCATCGTGTTTTAAATACGAACCTTGACGTAATGAACGTGAAAAAAAACACGTGTCGTTGGCCCCAAAAAATCTGTAGATTTCAACGGTTTCTATTCGAATTAATAACATTCACTATGCGTTGCGATATACTGCTTTAAATTTAAGAGTGACTATTAATTCGCAACATACAAATCGATGTGAAGTCCCGTCATCGCAATAATAGAGCATAGGTGTTCAAGTTATGAGACATACGAAACAAAAAGGAAGAAGATACACAAATTTGAATGCTTCCTACGAAAACAGGAACATTAGCGGTTGGAAAAGATCAGAGTAGAGCCCTAAGGTAGGCGCCATGCATTCGACTTCATTAAGCATCGTTTGGAGGTGGCTGAATGCATATCTGGCCTTTACAATGACTTGTGGTGGCCTACTGATCAAGCCGATGCTGTTAAACTCCCAGACAAATCTGGCACCAATTTGCCGACCTCGGAGGGAAACGCTTGGTGGGCCATAGGCGCTGAAATCAATTTCACGTGTACGTTGCAAGGCGCCTCCAACCACTGGGCCACACGCGCTCTACGAGTAATGTTACCAGGTGAAAAACTATAATCACTGAAGAAATCCCAAGTATTTATGGTCTTTATATGTAAGCGATTTCTGCTACTCAGTCCACCAAATGACCCAGCAAACGGTAACTGAGATCTGTCTTAACAGCCTAAGTTTCAAAAAAGACAGTCAAAAACAAAAAGAATCTAAAAAACAAAATCTGTTAAATTGATAAGATCTTTGAAATTTATTGTTTCGCTATAGCAAGTAAAATTACTGAAAGTATAACTGCCATTTAATACGGAACATCACAGCTGTTCTCGATCAAAGAGGGAATGGTAGATGTATTCGGTTAATGACATGGAAATGACCAAGGTGGAGATCGTAACTCCAGTTCAAAAAAGCAACACCACGTATCAACCACAATAAAAAAAGCAGGATACCATCACAGCTCATAGGGGCAACCACTCCTTCGGCCAGCGCGAATTTGATATCTCAGAAAAGACGAATATCTGTCCAAGAATATATTCCTATACAGAATCTACCAGCCAAAAAAATGCAGTTCTCTAAGGTATCTTTCCATGCCATACGTCATAGGAAAAACGGAAGTAGGTCGTTCACTTTCATGCTTTTTCACATATCTTGTCAGAGAAGAAAAGTGCGAAAATGATCAGATGCACCTATCGACTAGAAGATGCCTCTATGAATGGAACGTGACCGCATAGTGATCTGCGATCAGTGCCATTGAATGGTGTTGCAATCAGTGAAACGTGATAAAGTATCTTGTAACATAAGACCACCGAGGTCATTGACAGATCTAAAACACACTAAGAAGAGTACCTTTTATCGACCTACGTGTGACACAAGAAATATTATAACTTGATTTCATCCTTCAAAACGTATACACCTATGAAACGCCGTTGAGAATGCTTACAGCTCCGCACCTCATAAAAGATGTGTTATTTTATTACCTCGCATGACTATTCTTCGACTGGAACCTTTGCCCTCAAAAGAAGATCATCGATTGTTTCCAGCAAACCTTCGTAGCTAGTGAAAACGAACTACATGCGTTCTTTAATAATTGGTGGAAGAAACCCACAATGAAGAGCCATTCTATTAAACCATCATCGGAGAACTCAGTGCCGGACCAAGAAGCGTCAGTGGAAGTGAATACAGGGTGAGAAAAGTTCGAATAGGAGAACAAAATGAGAGCGCAAACGGCTTTCCTAGACTCCTGTCCGCAGCATGTCCCTTCCAGGGAAATTCATTTTATGCAGAAGAGATTGCCATGGTACATTGGAGTCTTGTAAAGAAAGGACTGATGCCGAAATCGAGCACACTCTCACAAAAAGATGACGACTTTTTGACACCTCCACGGTTCCACCGTTCTGTAGTAGATCTGATCATTGCCTTATTTGTATAAAGATTCAATTCAAACAAAGGTTGAAAAATAACTCTTGTCTTCATCCAAATAAGAGGAGATAAATCGTTCATGACGAGCATATTTCCAATCGCCTCATGTAATCTCTCCAAATATAACTGTCAAATCTATAACTGACCCGATAGAAAACTAAGAGCAGCTTGTCGAAAGACTTAAAACTGTTGCCGAACACACTTCAGTTCCACAAACAAGAAGAATAAACCGCATCCCCATCACCTCTGAGTTACTTCAGAAGAGAAAGAAACGGAAACTTGGTTCTTTACAGCACGCATAACATATTTGACAATGAATGCCAGTCATAGAAAATTTTTGCAGGAAAGTTCAAATCGGTATAGGCCAAAAAATTGTTAAAAGCAACTCAAAAAGGATCTAATCCGAAAAAAGTACCGTTGGGATCGCAACCACATTAGTGTTCCACTATCCGCCGTGGTGAACGAAAATGTAACTATCACTACATCCTGCCAAGGTATGGAACCGATAACGAAAAAGTCTTACGCCAACCTCCTAAGCTCCATAAGCCCTGTTGGTTGCCGAGATCCCATATGGACAAAGGTTGACTCTTCCCCTGAATTTTGAGTTGTGAAAGAAAGCATTAGAAAAGGGCACCCGTCCATGATTCGATAATACTGTAACGGAATCCCTTCGAACTGCTAGCCACAAAGTACACATATTTCTAGAAACTCACATGAATCTTATCCCAAAAACAAAAAATGGATGAAAACGATCAAGCACGGTTATCCTGTCTAAGAAAGATGAATGTTGCATAGATCACATCTAAACGATATACTAGGTTATATCAGTCCGTCGGTAGTTTGTCTCTTGTCCTAACCTTTTCGACTATGAAAAACTGTTTAACAACGTCGCAATGAATGCAATGTTTTCAGCTCTGGGCAACAAAAGAGTGCACCCACCCTTTAAAAAACTCTGGTTGACCGTTATTGGAAGTGCAACACGAAAACACCTTCTTATCGACCCCTTACCATACACAAAAGCAAAGGGTTTCGACAAGTCAACACTATTTCGCCAAGATTTTTATAGCCTCATTGTAGTGAAAAATGAAGTCGCTCGATTGAGACGCAAATGACGTACGAATTTATGGCAAATTCATACCAAAATTTACGTTTTGTTGACGAGACTAACCACTCTAGGAGTACCGGTGAAGCAGAGACAACGATCATTGAGCTCAATGAAGCAGAAAAGAGGATGAACATGCATAAATTGGAAGAAGACCCAGTATGTGGAAAATCGATGGTGCGAAGGTGAATAAATCGAACTGGATGATACTCTAATTACATGGACCACCTCGTCCAGATATCCTAGCATTCAATGAGGTTGAAAAATAGTTTGAAGAAGGAAATAGAAAGAAGAAGGAGAGCACTTCAAACTTCGGCGTTCACCTTTTAGATCCAACATTATTCCAGCGCTCGGGTACGCAACGGAAACGTGGGCTGATGCTTCGATCACGTAGAAAACTCTGTGCACGCCCACTAAGAGCCTTTAAATGATATTTCCTGGAATCTAACCGGCACTCACAATGTATAGCTGGAATACATATGACAGATCTTCGAAACTTATCTTCGAGGTCCAAAAGGATATATATATATATATATATATATATATATATATATATCGAAAGTGAAACTAGACAAAAAGAAATGTGGAGTACACTCCAAGAAGATGCAAGCGTCCTCTTGAACAAACACCATCACACGATAATCCGACGTATTCGCGTCATATGTCAATCATATCCACTCCCAAATAGAAACGACCAATGGATTACGGATCCTGCTTCGCGGATGTCACCGTATTCGGAGCAGACCACCATCATGGACGACTATTGCATGTGTGAAAGATATGAATGGAAGGTATGTGGCGATTCGCAGTACTCGCAAAGACAGGCCGTACAAATATCAAGCGATGTGTACTGGAGACTTGTACTCACATTGGACACCGTAGGGGAATAAAACATGAAACGAACAGCAAACTATCTATCTCTCAAAGATGTAGTAAAATCCAATTGAATGCTTCGTTGAAAAAGAAAACATTCCATCACGTGTAACGCTTCTTTTGTGCACACATATGTCTTAATATTGAACTGTTCACTCACTACTATGCAAACCGATGATTCGCAAACCATGAAGATCTGAAGAATCTATTCCTCTTGATTATGGTTGTCTTTAGTCTCTTCTCAATGTAAAGATGTGTACTAACCGCAAAAGTGACAAGAATCGTTACCATCAAGCAGAAAGTAATACACTTGAGAAATACAGAACGATCACTAATTCTCATGTATCACTTTTCATCACAGGTTGTATGTGTTCGAAAGATAAGGTGTTACAAATAATCGACTTCAATGCGGTTATATCGCTTGTACATATCACATGTATGGGACACTCACATCCAGAAAAGAGGATTGTGGAAGAAACATAGCACCACTGTGGCTCATTCACATGCAGAAAAGATGACTGTTGAGGCAACGCAGCCTCACCAAAGCTATTCATGTACGGACCACAGAGTACAACACATTTGCACATTTGCATACACATAAAAGAGCTTCTAAGAACGAAAGATTCCTGTTCAAAATTGTTTTGGTGATGACACTAGCAAGAGAAATTCTTTATATTCCTCTTAGCAAACACGAGGTGTTATTTGATTTCTTTATTTGCGCACAAGCTGACGTTTCGGTGGACTTCACCTTCCTCACAGCTTGGAAAGGTCAAGTTGACCGCAATCTACCCAGGCTCTAAGGAAGACAAAATCCACCGAAATGTCAGCTTGTGCTTAAATAAAAAAACAAAATAATACCTCGTGTTTGCTAAACAAGAATATAAAGAATTATTTGATCAATGCCGAGATTAATAGATAATCGGTCTGGGAGTTACCAGCTCTTGCTGATGACCTTTCTCATGCATCACTTTTCATCACAGGTTTTCGCATCATCAAGGGGGGAATGAAGCTGAACAAAAAATAATAAAGAAAGAAACACAGCAGGAATTCAAATTGCAACATATCCAATGTGATCAGAAAAGAGCGGTAACAGAATCATAAACGAAAAATTTAGTGTATCAGTCATATGAAAGACTAAGTACAGCTTTCAAGTTAAGTAGAATTTGAACACCATATCGAAATTCAGAAAAAAAAAATTGGAAACCAAGTGATGGGTTCTGAGAATCACGTTTAATTATTCAATAAACTTCTTGTAAATCAGTACATATTTAACTTTAGCTATACCGAAGGAAATGCATAAAATTATTGTAGCAAACCAGAGGGAAAAAAATAAAAACATTAAAAAGTAGGCCATGTTTCCGCAACAGGTGAATCATCCACACCTACACTTGACGCTTTCATACAAGAGGAATGTTTGTTGCTGCAGTCAGCCCAAGTATATATTGTCCAAACATTAAATGCTCTATGATAGCAAACTCGTAGGCTATATATACATATGTATATATACATACATACATATATACATATATGTATATGTATGTTTATAAGTATATACACACGTATATATGCATTTACATATGTATATATACATGTACACAAACGCATAGGTACATATATATATACACATATATATATGTGAAGTATATGCCGAATTAATGCCAGGAATTTTCTGCCTAACCTGTACTGGCCAAGCCGCAGCGTCTCCAAGTGCGCATATTGAGTGCCCTTCTATCTGTTTTGAGAGTTCCCAGATCATATCAATTTCACTTGGTTTCGCTTTTCCATCAACAAATCGCCACATTATCTTATTTAACCAGCTAGACCCCTCTCGACATGGTGTGCACTGAACAGATGAACCAAATAACATAAAACTGTAATAGTGTTCTCTGTTGGACAAAAGACTTGTCTAAAATTTCCCACCTGTCCGCAGCTCTCATGTCTATAAAACAACGAAAGACGTGCAATACATTTGACAACATCTGCCTGAAATAAAAAAAATAATACGATGAAACAACCAAAATTTGAGTTCATCCATATGTCGCTAAGTGAAAGAAAAAAAAACCTGTTTGTTCATCACGATTACAGCTGCAGTTCCGAGACCAGACTCAACCTCTGCTAGCGCGTCGAAATCCATCAGAACAGTATCGCAAATACTCCTATACAAAAACACCACAGAAATTGTGGTAAATAATAGAAAAGACGTAGCATTTCATACTTAGGCAAAAGAGGTACAGACGATCCTCCAGGTATAATGGCGAGAAGATTATCCCATCCACCAATAACTCCACCACAATGTCGTTCAATGAGTTCCTTAAGAGGAATGGACATCTCCTCCTCGACGGTGCACGGATTGTTAATATGTCCAGAAATACAGAACAGCTAAAAAATAAATCCATGGAATTTTCCTCTTAGCAAACACGCTGAACACCTAGGAGAATATAACTCGGATTTAAATCACATTACCTTCGTTCCATGATTACGTTCACGACCAAAAGAAGCAAACCACTCTCCGCCTCGACGACAAATCGTTGGTGCAACGGCAACAGTCTCAACATTCGTTACTGTTGTTGGACAACCGAACAAACCAATGTCAGCTGGAAACGGCGGCTTCAGACGCGGTTTTCCCTGTTTGCCTTCCAACGATTCGATTAACGCCTGAAACATATTTGCAGAATAGCAAATCTCTGGAGCAATCTTAGTGTGGGATGTGATATTAGTATAACAGTGCCGGTGTGAGACATCGCTTACAAATCAATGTTCGATCTGTGGTTCCATTTTTACCGTAAAGTTTCAGTAACAGCTTTTTATCGACAATTGTAGTACTATAAATCAAAACAAAGCTCACTTTATGCACTACCGCTTTGTACAATTGAATCATAATACAAATTATGTTCTTTGCAAATATTAATGGATAGGATTCCAGGAAGGAATGTTAAAGCAACAACTCCGACTAAACTGCTTCTAAAAATCCACATTGGGAAATACGCAGCGCAGACGCTTGAAACAGTAATGAGATATGGGGTAAGGAAATGTAAAAGAATTCACAGTGCAACAGTGGCTCGAAAAATTTCGTCGGGACGAAATCGACATTGAATATGAGGACACTTACGGGAGTCCTTCAACTACTGACGATGACCAGTTGAACAGTATGACAGAAGCAAATAGACGCACATCTCTTCGAGAACATGCTTAAGAACTTGATGTAAACATCTTGACTTTTCAGAGCATCTAAAGAACAGTCGAAGAAGCTCGACAATGGATGCCGTATAAATTGAATAACAAACAAAGAAATCGCCGTTTTCAGGTATCATTGGCGTCTACTCTGCCTAATCAGAACGAGTCGTCTCCCGATGGTTTTTTGATGTGCGACGAAAAGTGCATGCTCTGTGATTATCGACCACGAGCGGAATCGTGTTTCGACCTCGAAGAAACTCCGTAGCACTTCCCAAAGGCGAAATTGTACCAAATCAAGGGCATGTTGAGTTGACTGCCTGGTGATGTACAGCTGGTACGATCCATCACAGTTCTTTAAATCCAAGTGAAGCGACTATGGTAGAGATGGCATAGTCGCTTCACTTGGATTTAACTTTCCTCGCTGGCAAAAGTGTATAAGATATGCCAGTTTGAAATTAAGGATTGAGATCAGACATTAAGAAGAACCTAATAGATACGACACATGTCTTTATCAGTTACCTATTTTTTGATGTACTTTTTGTGTTCGTTCAACAGCTCCTTCAAAACAGATGTACAGATGTCACAACAGCAAAAGTATTTTCTGCACTCAGTAGTTCAAAAAAAGGTTTTCCGGACAAGTTTGCTCATCACCGGAACTCCACACCCGTCGTGTCCTTTACGAGTTCTTAATTGAATGGCAAAATGGTTCAAAAACGGTTGCTAGTGAATGAAGACGGCAATTGATGCCAAATTTTTGACACAATTTGGGCGTCATGATCCACAAATGACTCAAATCACGGACGATGAAAAATTAACTGTAGGCAGATCACGTAAAACTAGACTTTCTTGAAAAAACCCTAGGTAGTTATTGTCGATGATCCGCAACCCACTGGAAAGTCTGATGGTTAGATAGTTTCTTAAAATCATGTTTTATGTCTTTCGATTCATATTAGCAACACATGGACTTCACTTTAGATTTCAATGCTAATATTATTAGGTGTCAAATGGCTTTAAATTCCATTTACGCCATTGAAACAACAAAGAAGAGAGCGATTTCGAGCAAATCTTCGTATGACTTTGAACTTCGATGTAAAACTACACAAACGACTAACAGCATGAAGTGAACTAAGTTAGGAAACCGTTGACGAATTTATGAAAATGATAATTTTCTCAAAGACGACCCCCTGCTAACGTTGAAGAACATTTGAAGACATTAACTAAAGGAGATATATGTACACTGTCCGAAGACCTATAGAACAGATAAAATTATACAAAATACTGTTTCAAAAGATTTAAATCTAGTCGGAAGTGAACGAACCTGATAAAGCAGAGCCGCACGAATTTAGTGGTAAGCAGGTAGCCCACAATTACCAATACTGTGACGCGCTCCGTCTACGTAACAGAATTTATCCATTACCCAATAGCACTTTGAAAAGCAGTTAAGAATATATTCTGTATAGCGCTCTGCCTCAGGATGGTCATGGATAAAGCATGGAAGCACTTGAGAAGAAAATCAAGACCTCCATCAAAAAAGCTTACTTTTTCATATTCAGGAGAAATAACTATTCAATATAAATCCTTCAACCTTGGAAAAACCATCACAGCTTATCACAACACAAGTAGCAACATGAACACTACAATAGTAGGACGAATTAGGCCAACGAGCTTCACTCAGCATACTCATCAGTCTCGCCAATCGATTGTCGCTTTTTAAGGCGCCTCAAAAACTACAGAGAATATTCGAGAATTAAATCATCACTAAAATGCCTATATCTCCTTAGGCTTAGCAAGTCCGGAATTTTGCCATGCCTTTAATTCGATTAACACATAAGTAACATAAAATCTTATTAGTTCAAATAAAAACCGTTGGTATCTATACATCTTTTCCTATAAGGTACAAATTAGTTCAATCTATTATGATGGAACCTTTACTTTCTAAAGGTTATGAAACACATTTTCCCCACTTCTTGAAGTGAATGCTCGTATTGCGAAAACGAAATAAAGTGAACACGCGGGATTTCGGCCATCAGGACAGATGATGTTGCCATGTATCGCAGTTCTTAGCAAGTGCTGTGCTTGCGTTAAAAACAAAATTGAGAATTTATATTTAGTTATAATCACAATTTTAGCTTACTATTTACTGCCTACTCTTTTTAATGGCAAAGTATATATTGCGAAATATAACTCCAATGATGCTCTCAGGACCCGCATGATGTGGCGGTGAACGCGTTACTCCCCGGAAAGGACAACAGCGTGTTCGCTCCCACCGCAGACACCTGCGGTCCGAAGTTTTGCAAATATCTCAGCATCATTGAAGTTATATTTCGCAACATATACCCTTCCATTAAAAAGACTAGGCAGCAAATAATAAGCTAAAACTGTGATTATAACTACAGCCTCAGTCTAAATGGGTTCGTTGCCGATTTGGATTCCACAGATCAATCCCGCTGACGAGTGATTGCTGATGGCAGAGATCGATAGAACGAGCTGAGAGAGAGGCGAAACGAAGGACCCGCATGGTGTGGTGGTGAACGCGTTACTCCCGGAAAGGGCAATAGCGCATTCGTTCCCCACTGCAGACACCTGCGGTCCGGAGTTTTGTAAATATTTCAGCATCATTGAAGTTTAGATTTAGTCTAAAAATTTTTGACAATTTCAACTCAAGGCTCATTTGAATTCAAAGCGTAGTTTAGAAAAATCACAGATGGGATTACGACGATAGAGTAAAATCTCCTCAATAAATTTATGCAGTATTCAACTCCTCGAACACTCGTAGTGTTTGAGAAATCAAAATCAGTAGTTAAAATGTGACTGACCACAACTGGTTCACGTTTGACGTTGAAAGTTAAGCACAAGATAACGCGATCACAACTAACACTACACAAAGCGTATTACTATATCGCAACAAGTTAAGAAAAAGAGAACAAGCAGTTGCTTCATTAACTCTGAAATGCTGAATGCAAATAACTGAGCAGACCAAGTTCAGAGCTCACAAACAACATGGAAAGTATAATTCCTGGTTGTACCTGGAACTGTACTTTTTCTAACTCCGTTTTAATTTCCTGCATTGCCTGATTAGAGGTATGATGCTAGGTTTTCAACAAAATTCATCAATATGACACAAATGCTAAGCTTTCAATAGTCAGATAATTAAGAACCCAAAACCTAAAAAATCAACCATTGCCATACTCTGTAAAGAATACTGACAAAAATAAAGGGAGACTCGAACAAAGTTCACAGTCAGAATGATGCTGAGATGATTGCAAAACTCGAGACCGCAGGTGTCTGCGGTGGGTAACGAACGCGCTATTACCCTTTCCAGGGGCTGACGTCTTCAGCATAACACAATGCGTGTCCTTCGTTTCGCCTGTCTCTCAACTAGTTCTGTGGCTCTACTAGCTGAGAGACAGGCGAGACGAAGAACCCGCTGGTGTGATGGTGAACGCGTTAGTCCCTCGAAAGGTTAATAGCGCGTTTGTTTCCACCGCAGACACTTGCGGTTCGGAGTTTTGCAAATAGCGTTTTCGTGGTTGTATCATACATAATGTCCACACTGCTCTGAGTCTTAAATCTCTTTGGGATTGTTCGTAACAGAGGCTATTGCTGACCGTCTACTCTTTAAAGAAGAATTGTGCACATCAAAGGAACGATCGCCGTTTCAGCGCATTGATGCCTAAAACTTGAACGTGATAACGCTACGCCTACCATCGGAGTCGCATAATCGTGAAATTTACCATAACTTTGAATTTTCGTCTTTGTACTGCAAATGTAACATCAACCTAAACGCATTTGTGGCAAACTGCAAGGATTTCACTATATATGTGGCAAGAAATAAGATAGGTTTCCATGTTTAGTGCTCTTCAGAACGCGAAGTGAGTTGATATCTACTTATATGTGGAGGAGAAAGGCAGGCTGTAAGACATCACTTTCACTAATTTCCCTTCCGGCCATTGATTTTCTGCAAATACCATTTTTACAGCTATTTTTCAAATAAGAGGATAGCCATCCAAGTAAATACGTTGCATCAGGAGTCAAAAAGCTTTTCTTACGAGCTAGTACGCCCAGCTTCTGAAATCATGAAAGCGGAGAGAGTACTAAGATCACTCCTGTGGTGAATATTCTATGAATAGTTTCCATTTCTATAATATCGTTTACTTGTAATCATTCCACATTTATCTCTGCACATTCATGTCTTATCGGCGACCAACCCTTGCACCTGCCTCGCAGCTGGCTGAAAAGGAATTCTGTAACTTCTTTTTATCAAATGTGCTTCTCCGCCCGACAGTTCCGGCAGCAAAGAAGCAATTGCAAACTGTAAGCATTCCTCAGCATCGACCTATGCTTTCTGTACAGGTTACTGCATCGTTGTCATATGAATTTCCTGGAAAACCCCTTCTATAGCTTTAACAAAGATTCTAGAATCTCCCTTAAGCAATATCTCTAGCTCCTTCTGTCAAACTCCACCAATTACAGAAGGTATAGGAAGCATTCTTTGTTATCCAATTACCAGTGTTCCAGTGCTTCGCCCAGCTTCGCTCGAGTGTTTCGCTTGTGCCCGTTCGCTCAACTAGAGATCGTCAGATTGTTAATATCGGATTGTTATTATTGCTATAAACAGTTATAACCCAAGCATGAGATTGTTCTCCGGTACTACGTCAAACCTCCTAACAGTTCACCGCCTCGTCGTGGCTGGAAGGTGTTCCTGGGTGTCCGACTGCGATGTACAGCGAGGGGATTCATCCTCCTGACAAGATCTCCCAAGTTCAGAAGGAGTCCGACGTTTCCATCATAAAGCTTAGCTAAGAGTAAACCAATACCAGGATCCACCAACGCCCTAGTATCAAGGTCGCATTGCGGCTAATCTCCCTTTGACCCATAAGGGACGCCACTGCCTGCGGTGAAGACCTGGGGCAGAATTAGGCCAAGCTGACCACGCGATTTCAGAGAACCACGATTAACCAGCAAATCTTCGAAAAAATGGAGGCCATCCTGGGGCCCGTATAACCAGTGAGGACGGGCCATTCAGGTATCAAGTATCAAGTAAGACCACATCAAAAGTCCTGCGTGGCGAACTCGTACAAAGTCAGCCATTCTACTTTGAGTTAGCAATTATTCTGTGTCGAAGACTGACCCGAAGTTCTATATTCCGCTGCGCCAACTACTACATTTGGTGCATTGGCCAAACCGGTCGACGCTACTATTCCAATATTCTACTGCATCAAACAACCACTACAATACAATTCCAACGTAGAGGTTTCTTGATGATGAGTGACTAAGGCACAACGGCTCAGATACACAGAGTACACATTTATCGATGTGCTTCCATGCAGTTTATATTTGACAGTACTATAGGATCTCGACGCTACTGTGCTCATGTATGGGAAAGGCAATATATGAAAATGCCAAAATATACATAACATATGTGATAAAGCTACCACCAAAGATTGATAACCTCGCGGTCGGACGATGTACGAGACCTTTCTCAACACATAACACATTTAAGTGTGGGGAACATGGGAAAACAAATAGAATAACTCGGAGTACACGTAGCACACGGAAAAATGGTATGATAATAAAAGGTACGTGGAAACGAACTACTGCGCGAAAAGTACGACAAGGATGAAGACGTTATTTGTTGCGGTAAGGGCAGAGACAGCGAATGAGTTGCGATCAATTTACAGCAATTAAGGTCAACGATGAGATGTTCTGTCCTACGAGTTGAACAAACATATCCCAAATCATAGTTGAGTTATTTTAAGTAAAATTGAAACCATAAACTACAAACTATACCTAACTGCCAACAACTGACGAGCTTCCTTACTCTATCATAAAAAATGAAAAATAAAGCTCTCGGCGTTGATCAATCCTTGAGAGATGCGCCATGCATTCGACTTCATAAACCATCGTTGGAAGTGACTAAATGCATATCTGGCCTTTACAATGACTCGCAATGGCCTAACGATGTAAAGCGTCAGCGCTGCTGTCAACTCATACAAGTCTGATACCAATTTGCCAATCCCAGAGGGCTTAAAGAGACATAATTAATCTCGGAAATTTACGTGGATAGAGCATTAAAACGTTAAATAAGAAACAATTCATAGCTGCGCGTCAAGATTTATGTTTCTTCTAGCTCCAGGACACATTCGGTATAATGTAGGAGTTATAAGTAGTTCGCTGATACTCGAAGAGTTTTCCCACTGAGCAGCTTACTGTTACTCAGTCGCTGTTCTTAACTTGATAGCCAAAACTGAAGTCCTTTAAAACCTTTGCCGGCGTAAAATAAACTGCCCTATTACTAATTCAATGTAAAAAACTACATAAAATTAACTGAAAACAAGGATGAAAAACCAAACGAGACAAATAAGTGAAATTGTCTAAATATATTACTCACAGTTTCTTCACCACAAATATAGGCTCCTGCTCCGCGATGTACGAACACGTCAAATGTGTACCCAGTTCCCAAGCAGTCCTTACCGATATATCCAGCCTAAAATCATGGATACTACTTCTTCTATCGAATGATGCACCATTGCAACCTGCTGATCACATTTTATAGTAGCGAGAAGTTCACTGAGAAAAGATAAATCTTTTCTTGTGGTTAGTGTAATAGCTCATAAACAATGACATTCCTAGCAAACGATTATCAATTATGTCGTTCCTCTACAATTCCAAATATACGCAATTTCCCATATTATAAGCAAAAGAAAAGATAAGAAGCATTAATTAATTCAATATAAGGTGCTCATACGTCAAAACCTACGATGAATAACTAATTGTGGCCAGGTGTTCGAAGGTCTGAAACTTGGTTCACTAGTCGATTTGTACCACAGCAGTTACGGAAAGATACCAGATATCACCGCTATCCAATAAGAAACATTGCTGCATGATGCAAAGTTCTCTAAGGTTCACAAGGGCACATGACTGCATGACGTGACGACCTGGGACCTTCATGAAACTGTTTTCTCGGAACTCCAGCAAGAAAGCCTCAAACCAGCAATACATAAATTCGACGGAAAATCTGCAACAACCAAGACGATAAATATGGGTCAAATATGTACTCACTTATATGGGCCAATAGGAAGGGTTTTCAGGTGAACCTAACACCGTCGGATATTCCTGGGTGTCGAGCGGCGGTGTACAGAGATAGTTCTCCAGCAGGGTCAAAAATTGTAGGAATGGTAAGCGGTTCGATTCTTCATTCAGAAATGCAGTTCAAATTAAATGTACGACATAGTGGAACCCAACAGTGTAAGTGAGCACTTTCCGTCAAAAAGGAATGAAAAAAGAGTCGTATCAAAGGTGTGGCCCTCTACGTGTCCACGAGCGCAGCGAACTGATTGGAAAGTTGCGATACACAACGGAAACGAATGGACTCTACTGGCACCCACCACGACTAGTTGGGGAGTAACGAGACCACAGCTTAAGCAGGTGATCAAAACTAATGAATTTTATGTTTGCTCCTCCAGAAAACAATAAAATCCCAAGAGTATGCGATTTCGTGAAAAAGGTTCACTGCCCAGACACATACTTTACTACCTTATAAGCTTCATTGACAGCTTCTTGAAGAATACAAGCTTCGTTGTAGAACTCTCCACGAATGTAGATATAAGCCGCACGAGCTCCCATTGCCACTCCAGCAATCAAACAACCTTCGATTAACTGTAATATAAAAAATTTACGTTAAATAAAGACAAAACATACGTTTCATGAACCTTGTGAGGGTCGTGTCTCATTATTTCGCGATCTTTGCATGTCCCGGGTTCACCCTCGTCCGCATTAACAACTAGGTATTTTGGACTAAACAAAAATTAAACAACACAATAAAGACGAAGAAAGAGCCCTAAAAACAAAAAAACTCCAGAATAGATTTAAAAAACCGAATACCAACCGCCCATCGAATGGCTTATTCATGAAACTCCACTTCATACCAGAAGGGAAGCCAGCACCTCCTCTACCACGGAGACCTGATGTGCGCACTTCATTGATGATCCATTCAGATCCTTTCAAAATGATTTCCTTGGTTTTATACCAATCACCCTAGAATTGAAACCGGATTTCAGGAATAGAAAAGCAATTCCAGAAAGAAGAAAAACACATAAATCCTCATCGTACCCGAGACAGTGCGCCCTTGAGATGATAGTCATGACGGCCATAAAGGTTCGTAAATATACGATCCGAGTCCTTCAGATTTCCAAACGAAGTCTTCTCGGGCTTCTTTTGTGCAGGAGGAGCAGCTGTTGCTGCTCCACGACTGATCAAGCGCAAAACTGGAAGCAAACCAGTGATTCTTACGACCTTTGTACATAATATTTCTCAAAACAATGGAATAAGACCAACAAACCAGGCTCGAGTGCACGGCACCTTAAGGTGATGGAAAAAGCCATAACTCCTAGCGCTGCAAAAAAAATCAGACAAAGACTCGTAGACCTCAAGGGAAAAAACTGCTGGAGGAGGTTATTCAGCTTAAAAATACAAAACTGTTATGTAGGGAACCTAAGAAGACAGAGATTAATTGTATAGCTTCTTCTCACAGCGAAATACGACGCCTAAATAGTGGGCAGGAAAAGAATAAAGATCAAGGAAGAAACGGACCACGCAAAACGTCAAACAAGTCGTAAATCTCTGTGGTAACGTCCACGAAATGGATTAATATTCCTTTATAAAGAAGTGTTCAAAAATAAAAATGTTAAATCAAATGATATTAAACAACACTAAGGAGACGATTACTCTAAACAGAAATTCTATTTGAGAATTACTTGTCTCCGATGAGTGATGACGCGAAAACTCGTCCGCAGAAACCTGACGGATTTGCATTTCCGATTGAATAGGAGATTTCTCAATTCGGATTGAAACCGGGTGGACCAGAGGAATAATTTTACAGATTTCAATTTGTCTCTGATAAAGAGAGTGTTCGAAGGCTATGATCTCCGATCATCAATCCATATATGTCCTTTGCAGCTTACCATAATGCTTCCAATCGACATAGTACCTATTTGGATGCTTGGACGACCTGTCCTCATTGGTTGTGCGGACTCAAGCAAATTCTCCGTTTTTCAGTTTTACTAGCTTAGCCATTGTGGCATCCTGGAGTCCCATTGTCAGCCATGCTAGTCTGCACCAGGTCGTCACCACCACAGGCAGTCGCCGCCCTTATGGACCAGATGGAGAGTTATCACCGGTATTGGTTTTCTCTTAGCTGGACTTCATCAAAGGAACGCTGGAGTCCTTCTTAGCTTGGAAGAACCTGCCAGGAGGATGAATCCCCTGCTGTACATAACAGCCCTACACACGAGACCGCCTTCTAGCCACGATGAGGCGGTAAGGCGTTGGTAGGGTAGCAGTGTCGTTTTACTTAGTGCATACCTCTACGTATGTGTTTCGGCTAGCGAGCTGAATTTCAGACGGAAAATTCATATGTGGCTCAGCAGTGAGTCTTGCAAAATGAATAGAAAGTAGTAAGTATAAAGTAATTTTCTCAACGGTTTACCATCATGGCTGGGAGATGTTCTTGGGTGTCGGAGTGCGATGAACTGCGGGGGATTCATCCCCCAGCAGGGTCTCCCAAACTGAGAAAGAGTCCGGTATTTCCGTCGGGTAGCCCAGCTAGGAGAAAACCAATACCAGGATCTACTGCCATCCTGGTACCAAACTAGTCGCATGGTGGCGAATCTCCCTCTGATCCACAAGGGCTGCGACTGCCTGTAGTGGTGAAGACCTGTGGCAGACTTTGGCCAGACTAACCTCGGGATTCCAGGGAACCACAATAGCTTAACCAGCAAATCCCCGAAAAATAGAAATTGTGCTGGGACCCGCACAGCCAGTGAGGACGGGCCATTCAAGTATTCAAGTAAGTAAGTATAAAGTGATACGTACTAAACAAGTAATAACGAGTTATAATATTGCTAAGGAATAGGTATAACGTCGCAGTAATTACCGTATAGTAACATACAAGTAAAGGTATTCAGTGGAAAGACTCATTCGGAGGAAGGCTTTCCTAGTTCGATGAACGTTAGAGAAGATGCCATTGTATACTAACGAACCAGTTCAGAAGATTGAAGGACAGACGATGTGCGAGCTAGATCCTGGATCGTTGTGATGAGAGTTTTCTGGAACGTAGCTAACACGTGACTCTTCTCTTTATCTCACGTTCTGTTCTATAGTAAATGTCACGGGCGAACACTTTGTAAACTGTAAAAATCGGATAGCAAACACATCGGTATTTGTTTCCAAGACCATCTATTTCTTCCTTCTTGTATGTCAAAAACACTTTTCAGAGAATCTATTAAAATTTTTAAAATATTTTGTCTTGATATCATCGGTATCCAAACAATGAGACCAAGTAACGAACTTCGGAAAAAATTAAGGAAACGATCCATCCATTCTGCTACCGTGATCGATACGACTACCAGAAAAAAAAATAAATTATAGTAGATTAAAGGATAAGGCGTCAAGTAGTGATCAATCCCATAGGTATGCGTCATGCATTCGGCTCCATTCGTTATATCTGAGGTGTTTCAGAGATATATTCGGCCTATGAAATGGCTTACGGAGAACTGCCAAAGTTCATATTATTATTATTATTATTCTCCTGGAGAAGCCCGGTGCTAACTTATTACAGATCCTGTCGCGATTGGCACTTGATTATCCTAGGACATGAGATCGAACACCAAAGAGCGTGTGCGCTTTACAGTGCCGTCCGATGAGTGACCAATTTGCTACATCCTCCTACTCAATGGTTTCTTCATTGTCCTGTACATTCCTTCTCTTTTATCATGCCTGCAGTCTTTATCATATTAGCTCTATTGGCGAATTTTTGTTTAAATTTGTGATATTTGCGAGTTATACTACAGATTGAGATCTTTTATTTACAATCACATGCCTTAGTCACTTACTACGTGAAACTTCTACAGATTTTCGCTATTGTATTTATTCACAAACGGCCTTGGTAAAACAGCAATTTAATAAAGTTCTTCGTTTCACTGTCAGTTCATGTCATCCTGGTTTGTAAGCAATTATGTGATGCTCGAGTTTGTTACATTGTTCTGGAGCGATCAATCGACGAATTTTCATGGTTACAGGAAACACTGTCGCCCTGGATGAATAGGAGTCGCAAGGCAGCAATTTGCCTTAAATCCATAAAGGTTGCAACCGTTTGTGGTGATAACGTTAAAACGCCGTACTTTCCTCTCAACTAAAGCAATCAGCTGGACGAAGGAAGGGCGCGGTAAAGAGCTTCCGGTTCTCGAGAGAAATCACACTTTTCCAGTATTTGGCATGGCACTAAGGAGAGAGAACGACAGGTTCTCAAGTTGCCATCGTAGTCACACACGAGTTCGAGCACTTCCGTGGATGGCATTTGCAGGGCATGGAAATCGGTTCACAAACTGCTGGGATCTGTACGATATCTGAACATCTGTCATCTAAGTAAGCATATCACTTTCTTGAGACATTTCTTTGGCGCCAAGCTTAGAAATGATTTACGTGGAATTTATTCGAACACATATTGTTTCGCTTTTGTTGCATCTGAAGGATGGCGAATTGAAACGAAAAAGTTTAATATGTATTTTTACGTCGTTTTCTTGTTCAGCAATGCAAAGTTATCACACAGCATACATTTACTTCCATACGAAAACACATAATACAACAATAGCTGACGTTTCGGTAGAATCGCCTTCTTCAGAGCCTGGAAGGCGATTCTGATAAACAATCTTCTAGGCCAAACGCTTCAATAACACTTACAAAAAGACGAAAGACTCTTTGGTAATTACATGATCAACAGCTTCTCGAAAAACTCACCGCTTTTACGTGACTTCCAATGAGGAAGTTTGGAACAGCTGATTATAGTCGCATGTGGTTGACGACTGCACCATCCCACATCAAAAATCGATGCTAACATACGGGATCAGGTCGCGAATGACCTCCGGGCATTCATCCCTGCTATTCATTGTAAGGTTTTTGGCATTGATCCAAAAAGCCTCAAGGAGTTTCCGCGCTGGTGTTTTGGACTCCTGTGCAAGGATATTGACTTTTACGTCAAAATCGTCTCCGCTATGCTTTTGTATCCTATGCGTGCCTAGTGGGGTGCTTCGTCTTAGTTTTCGTTTGCCATCTAGGTGTTCTTTTATACGGATACACAAAGGTCTGCTCGTTTCGCCAATATATTCATCTCCGCAATTAATACAAGAGATCAGGTATATCGTACCTGAACTCATGCAATCACCGTTCCTGCCGTAAGGGAAATTACGCAATTTGTTGTTCCACATAGACGGTCATACAGGCGGTTACGAACTAACTGACGACGTAGGGTAGCCGGCAGTATTTCAGCTATCGCTACCGTTTCCTCTAGACCTGCACTTCTTAACCATCGTTTTATAGCTACGATTACTTCATCGGTAATAAAAGACAACATAAACGGGACTTTCTTTTAGCCATTTGTTTCGCTTGGGCGCGTTGCTCTCCTTCTAAACTTATCTCGTGGGGTTACTATTTCGTAGCCATTGGAGACGGCTATTTGTCGAGCCAAGTCGCGCGATTCTTCCGTTAGTTTCCTGGTTGCGCACACAAAGGTGGCTGTTCGAAACATGTTTCTCACAATCGCTCTCTTTGCATGTAAAGGTTGGGAAAAAATTGAATGCGCAACGATGTTCTTACTACTTGGTTTTCGGTGCCATCTTGTCATGTAACTGCTACCTGATAAGTTAATTTGAACGTTGAGGAATGAAAGCCAATTTTCATTCGGTTTCTCCCGGCCGAATTTAATATATTCAGACTACCCAATCAAGAATTCAAAGCATTTGCACGTCTTCTGCTGAGTACGGAAGATGACAAAACAATCATCTATATATCTGCAGTAGAGTAGCGGCGGTTTTGATAAGTGGGGCTTCTATTTCAGACATGTATGCCATGGCGAGAGTTGGTGTCAACCGCTGTCCCTTTTCCAACCTTCTACTTCGGCGTAATAATTCTTAGATCATCTGAAAATCGAGGAGTTTAGGCACTCTTTTAAGAGAACCATAAGCTGCTGAATAGGCAGGCCATGCATTTGTATTCCTTCTTCATGTTTAACAAGAAGTTCGCGGATGGCTTGCATTGCGGAGTTATTCGATACGTTGCTGTAGAGCGCGGGAGTATCGAAAGACTCCATCACGCACGCTTTGTTAAGAGACGCGCTACGTAGACGTTCTAGGAATGCATTCTTTCTTGATAAGCTTGCACGAGGTTGATAAATATATCTATTTTCGGCTAACGTTTCGACGTCTTCGTCTTCCTCAGAACCGATGATCCGAGTCGATGGTCCATGTTTGTTGTTCGTCTCGACGTTGCAGCTTCGCCTTCGTGTCGAGCCAGGTCTTCCTCAGTGATCCATCTTCTCGAATGAGGCATCCTCACTCAGTGATGCCCTTTTATACACGATGCTGATGGTGGATATATAATGATAATGTCCGGTGGTAACAACCTGTATTTCTTCCGGACATACATCATTGCGGACATCGTACAGAAGTCGGTGTTTTATCAGCTAGCACAAAGCGTAGTAATATTTCGAAACCGACTTTCCCTGAACCTCGGTGTGACTAATCAATATGCATTCTTTCTTGATAAGCTTGCACGAGGTTGATAAATATATTTAACGTTCTAGGAATATTTAGGTGTTTGAAGTGAGCTGGAATATGGCTAGGCAGTTGGGTGAGTATTCGGCCTGGAAACCGCATTGTTCCATCCGTTGGCCCGTCTACACAGCTGATAATGGGTCTCACCTTGTAGGAGAGTGGATTGGCATACGCGAGATCATCAGCTGATACTAACTTGTGTCTCTTAAAAAGTTTTATCGCTATCTGATAGTCCAATGGTCTTCGAATTTATTAATTCCCTAATTTCTCGCATACCACATTTTTGTGCGGTTGCGAGGTTAGAGATATACTTATTATCGCGATAGCGGACAAGGATTTTGAGAACATCGTCCGAAAATATGCGAAAGTTTGCATCAATTTCGACGTTGCGTTCCTGCTGTCTGAGGAACGCTCTGGCAAAAGGAAATAGTGGTAATATCGTCACTTCCTCATTTTTATTTCTATAGAATATTTCTTTCTTGGCCTTATAGCCGGGTCGATCTTAAAGTTTATGCAAGCTGCATGCGATCCTACGCACGGTTGCTTTAGAAATTGGTTGTGACGGTGAAAAACTTGGGTCCCAATTCTAGTAATGAACGCGCGTTCTCAGGTATGGCCATGCCTCCAAGTACGGTGACCCTAGATTTTCACGGTTCATTATGAACCCTATTTTAACTACTTAGCTGTTGATTATGCAACCTTCATAGAGTTTTTCGACTTTTTGTAAGTGTCATTGAAGCGTTTGGCTCAGTATATTGTATATCAGTATGCCATTCCAGGCTCTGAAGAAGGCGATACTGCCGAAACGTCAGCTACTGTTTTATTGTATCGTGTTTTCCTACGGAAGCAAATGTATGCTGTTTAACAACCTTGCGATTGCTGAGCAAGAAAACGACGCATTTATTATGCAATAACGAGGTTAATAGAAAGTCCACCTTGGGAGCTATGTATTCCTTCTTTGATAAGTTTACACGAGGGTGATAAATGGTGTTTATTTTCGGCTAGCGTTTCGACAGTGTCGTCTTCATCAGAACCGATGATCCGAGTCGATGGTCCACAGCTGTTAGTGCTCTCGAGGTGGCGTTTTCGCCTCGCATGGAGTCAGGTCCTCCTCAGTGGAGCATCTCCCTCGAACCAGGCGTATTCACTTCACGATTCCCTTTCATTCAGGATGGTTCGTATCGATGGCGGTGATCGTCCTGTGATAACTGTGATAACCACTTATTTCTGTCGGACAATCCATCCTGTAGAAGTTAGTATCTATCAGCTAGTACAAAGCTTAATAATGTTTCAACTTCTTTCAGTTTACTTGTAATCATATTCAATTCCCTCTTTTCCTCAATTCCTTCGCTCGTCTTCCCCACTTCGCTGTTATTCATTAGATCTTTTTTCGTTTTATTTTACATGACCCGTTATAACATCCATTATGTGGATCTCAGCACATCTTCATTCATTCGACTCGTTTTCTTCGCATTCATTGTCCACAAGAGTCTTCGAACAATTGACGTGTTGTTTCGGCTGCTATTTGAGAATTTCGTCTTCTTTATGAATGTCGAATTATACTGGTCCAGTTTTCGTCTGAAAAAAGTTCCTTTATTTGTTGCAGTATGATGGTTGTGGCTCTGAAGAGATAGTGTCACTCTATCGTAGAATCTATCGCAGGGTTAAGACGAAGGTACCCTGGGAGAGCGGTCCATATTAATAGAATTCTTGTCCAAACCTCAGGTTACGCTTCATCCAAAGTCCTTGATATCCTCGGTAAAATATTCTGGCTAATTATTTTATTGTACATTAAAACAGCAATTATTATCAAGACACCCTCGGTAACATGTCCCATTGTTCCTATGTTTGGTCTTTCGGGCATCTAGCATAGCTAAACAGTTTTTTGACATTAACATTAAGATAGCTTAGTTTTGATGGCATGTATCCATAACGGTTGCGAGAAGTGTATACAGCCGAGGTTTGCTAACTCCAGAGCAGTGCTGCTCTTCGTGCTCTTGATCACTGCTCAAATTTCAGATAACAGAGTCTAGCATTGATTTTCATTAAGCATAAAACTATAGTGTAAAGGAAATGATGGGGAATAACCTTACGTTATAACATTTCATGAGGGCGAGAGATGTAAATACCATGTTCACACTACATAGTTGATACTACCAGGATACTGTATTCATAACAGTCCTAGTGGTTGTTCTTCGGATTGGTCTTTTTCATAGTTCCTGAATCGCTGTGGTGCCTCCTGTAAGAATCCTTCAGTGAGAATTTAGTAGCTCTCGCGTAAGATACTTTGTCAAGTTTCCGACTGATGTTCTCTATCTCCGAATAAATTGACGTAGTGGCTATGCCAATTCTACGCCTGATATTACACTAAATCCATTGTGGTCGATGCACCCAAAGGTGTGCCTAGTGTGCTTTAAAAATATTATGCTGGTAAGATCTTTCCCTGTGATATGTGTAATCCAAGATGCATTCAATCCTCATCGGTCATAGAAAGATCCTTAAATGCATACCTCATGCTCTGTGTTTCCCGTTTCTGGAGGCCTTCACTTGATTTCAACATACTATGTATTCGTGAGTGAGCGTAGCGTAGTGGTTAGAGGTGCCCCGCAATGCACATGGGTTCGATATCGCGATGCAGAGTCACCTAACCTTCCATCACTCCGAGGTCAGTGAATTGGTAACTAGAGCATCGCGGATCATTGTATAGGTTTGAATGACCTGATCTACTTGACTAGGATTTTCTTCGAAGTTAAAATTCGAACTCTTCCCAACAACCGGACTTCTTAAGAAGATGTCTAGGACTAATTCCCACATGGTGTCAAGAATATTGCAGTGCAGCGGCAATGTTTATCACACTATTTTTATTACTAAAGAAGTCTGTAGACTGAAACAGAAAAAAACAATGCGTAGACAATTGCACATCTAATATCGGAACAAAACTCATCACGTGAAACGACCAAAACTGAAATACTGCGCTAGAATCCGAAACACGGACACGAAACCCGAACCTGGTGCAGTAGTGGGCGTAGTGGTGTGGACAGACGCGACGAGTTCCTAGCGCGATCGATATCTCCTGGTTCGCCCTTGACAACACCGTATGGGAATCGTCGCACCCAGAGAGTTCTCTGCTGTTGAGGTTTTTCCGTTCGCGTTATTTTGTGGAACATTGTTAGAGCATAAATTATACACTCTACACAATTTAATAAAGAAAATTAAGCATGGACTATTTCAAAAAAATGCCCGTCATACGTTTCCCATACGGGTATACCTCCATTTTAACCCTTACTCTCTCTCTTCATGTATAGGTCTTAAATGTAACACTGTTAAAACACTTTCATAGGACATTTTTTATGCTACTCATGAATTTACGGCTAATATTCCACATAAATTTACTTCTTTCTTAATGTTAGATGAAAAATTACCATTAGTTTTATTTATACTTTGATAATTATAGTCCAAAAGGTTAAATATTACGTAGTAGTTGAAAAGAAACCAAATTTACCAGCACTAGGCTGTCAGTGCTTTTGTGCGGAGAAAAACGCGCTCCAAGGTAGAAGATTTGAATTTTTGATCTGCCGCCAAAACCTTGAATTCTTGGGTGGTGACGCCTAGAGGAATACCGGATTACCGTTCAATTACCGTTCATTGTCGAAACGATGAAGACCAGAAGTGGTCGGTTTCTCGTTGGTTCGCCGAAAATACCCCCAGTTCGTAGGACAAGCAATGGTTAGTTTCATATTTATGTCTTTAAAATTGGATTTTACATTATCTTAGCCGAGTAGTAGTTAGGAGTCAGTCGAGCTTAGTAGTAGTGGAGTAGTCGGTCGTTAACAATGATCCTTTAACAGAGAATCATTACTGTTCAACAGACTAGGCATATCATCGTTGGAATGATCAGTTAGAAAAGGTGTACCGGATTTATCTGAATGACCCTATTTCGTTAGGATTTCAAGCTCAAATGGTACATTTGTGTAGAAAAACGACAGACATAGAAGCTTAAGCGAAAGCATAAAATAGGAGTTGTAAGGACGTGGATAATAATTTGTGAACTGTATTAGCTGAGAGAAAGGCGAAACGAAGGATTCGCATGGCGTGGTGGTATACGCGTTAGCCACTGGAAAGAGTAATATCGTGTTCGATCTCCACCGAAGACATATGTGGGCCAGAGTTTCACAAATATCTCAGCATCATTGTGGTTTTAGTGTAAGAGTTTCTAGAATTACGAATTGGAAATGACCGATGTGTCTCAGTTAACAATGAAATCTAAACTTTCAGATTACGAAGGAGATTTTTAACTATGGCGACCTATTTTAGTTACTTTGTAAAACTTCTGATGTCATTGAATTATTGTAGGAGCATTTTGAAGGGAAAAATGGCGATTAGAATTCGCCATTAGGAAAGTACATGTGCTAGTTTTTGAACGGACTACTTCCGAAAATATCTTAGGCTAGGAAGAGGTAGGAGAGGAGGCGGGTTCGGTCTGCATAAGTCAATATAGCCCGTAAGGAACCTACAGAGTAACTCAGTCTAAGTGGTAAGCGTTGAGTAAGCCTAATTGGTAAACGTTAAGAAATATATGCAGAGGTTCTCCTTCTGTTGTGTCTGGGTGTACATTTTAGTTGAATCAATCTTCTTTAATTGATATAAAATGTTGAAGTGTCCCTACAATGGCCTTTGTTGTTCGTTTTGGTGCATAAGGAACATGGCATCCAATGCTAAAGCACTTTTCGCATTGTATATCTTGCTTTTCAACAATGGTCGAGTGTAGGTAGCACAGCGGTAGGAAGAGCTCTGCAATACACACGTTGTCCCTGGTTTGATCCAACGCCATATGCTAACCTATCTCTGGCTGTGAGGGTTTGGCTAACGATTATGTTTTATTCCCCATATTTTTTAACAGTCTTCTAAATATTCTGGTAAGGTCTTGATAGTTAAATTTCTAGAGCGATTAAAAAATCTTGGTCTTTATATATTGCTTTTGTTAGGAGCTTGAAATCTATGTTTTGGGTTTTTTTTTAGCTTCCATAGTTGATACTAATCTGTGGAATTATTTACGTTGTCGTCCTATTCAACTCTAATAAGCCCATTGTTTTTCCTGGTTTTACTTAACATACTGTATAGCGTTTAGCTAGTTATAGTCTGGCGGTTTACTTCGTGTGGTTACCGCCTAATTTCTCACCGTGCAGTGCACTGAGATAAAATCATGATACCGGCTGATCTGCCTCCCTCGTTCCTCCTCCCCTCTTCAACATATGAGTGGGATTCAATTCATTCCGCACTCCAGGTGCAACGTGGCTTTACCTGGAGTTGGTCATCGGTAGTTCTTTTCATCAACTGTTGAGATTGTTTACCTTCGTTTCTTGTGTATCAAACTCGTGCAGGTCAAGAAAATGTGGAATTTCTAGGGTCCACGAAAACGAGGATGTCGTCCGCTGCAGTTGCTGCATCTCCATGTCATGATGAGCCGGAAGATTCGCTTTACCCGATCGCCGTCCTCATCGATGAACTACGGAATGAGGACGTACACTTACGACTGAACAGCATTCGTAGGCTTTCAACTATTGCACTTGCTCTTGGCGTTGAACGCACTCGTAACGAGCTCATTCAATTTCTAACAGGTTCGTGAGTCTTTTCTGCCATATTTTCACGAAAGAAAGGATTTTGATGATGTATAAGCTGGAATGTTTAGTGATAGCCACAAAAGGAGATTATGTGCATCATTTGTAATCCGTCAATCATCTACTACACCGAGCAGTTACCCATAAAGTGTACACTGACTTGTCTTTAAAACTGCATAATGGGGTCGCTCGAAGGACGCGAAGAGCACAGCACTTTTCCTACGACTCCCTTGGTTTTCACTTTGTTTGACAATGGGTGCTTTGGTAGCTTGCTGGACTACCACAGAGTAGAAATGTAAGGATTCGGGTTTCGTAATGGGTTCGTAAGGAAAGTATAAGACAACGGTAGAGTAGAGGCAAGGAGTACTTCCTAGTTTCAGCTTTTTCTTAGAAAAAGCATGTGGTCGCTTCTGGTCAGTGTTTAACAACATAACCATCAGCTGTGGACATTCGACGTGTTTATTCCTTTACCAACTATTGTTTATGTTTAAATACTTAATCGGAGGCGCTAGAAGCGCATTGTTTGGAACTGTGGTTCAGAACTACGTGGTCGTGGTCGCTGCTTCAATCTTGCACCGGATCATTCAATACTCATAGCATCCCGGTTTCGGAAAACTGCTAAAAAGCTTGTCTGGGAAGCTCACTCTGATCCACGAGAATCGGGGATTTCCTGTGATAAAACCTGGAAACTCTCTACTACAACTGCCCCAGGATTCCAGATAAAACCAATTCGACCAGAATTCGACGGCATTCATGAGTAAGTTAAAGTCATCAACAGTCGGCTGCTGAGCGCACAAAAGTTCGAAGACCTCCATGAGGAACGGATACGAGACACCAAGTAAAACGTACTAGATTATGGGATCCGCACAATAAGTCGAGTCGTATTTTAAAAATGTGTTTACTCGAAGACTACATGCGAGATACTTTCAATTTTCAATATGAGTGGTTACAAACAAACACGAATAGCTTTTGCCTTTAGGTAGCGGGACCGGCTATGGTTTGTAAAACAGTGGATCGAAACTTCACTAATAGTATTTTGTTTTGGGATTGATCTATAACGAGTTTTAGATACAATTTATGACGAAGATGAAGTTTTACTAATACTTGCAGATCAACTGGGAAATTTCACGCCCTTGGTAAGTTGAGATTGTTATACTGTTATAGAATAACGCGGTCGAATATGTACTTGATTCCAGGTTGGCGGTCCAGATTATGTTCACTGTCTTTTACCACCCCTTGAAAATTTGGCAACTGTCGAGGAAACCGTCGTCAGGGACAAAGCAGTCGAGAGTCTACGAAAGATTGCTGATAAGCATAGCAGTAGTGCTCTAGAAGAATACTTTATTCCAATGTTGAAGCGCTTGGCGACAGGTAGAATTTTCCCCTTTTATTGGTCACACTTCTCGGAATTACTACCAAATCATCACTATTCAGGCGACTGGTTTACCTCGCGTACATCGGCTTGTGGATTGTTCAGTGTTGCGTATCCACGAGTTAGTCCTGCAATCAAAGCGGAACTGAGGAAGTAATCATTGTTTCTTAACTGCACTTTCTAATGGATAATGAGGCGATAATCTAGGTTGCGTGTTAGAGTCAGTTTTGTTTGACATCGTTTTTGTTTCATTTTCCTTTTTCCAGCTTATTCCGGCAAATGTGTCGTGATGACACTCCAATGGTTCGTCGTGCTGCTGCATCAAAGCTTGGGGACTTTGCGAAGGTGAGTGCATAGGAAAAGTTTGGTGAACGCCAAGTGGTGCCCAAGTTTTGTTGTATCGGTTGGCCAATAATCCAGTTTTTTGAGTGAAATTGAAGTGGTGTATAAAGCTTGTAATATCTTCTTCCATAAAGACTTTTGATCTGAAAATAGGTTTTTATTATTCATTGACCAAATCTTGGGAGCTTCTTGTGATAGTTGTTTGCGTTCCCAAAATGCGGTTAATTTGGCCCGAAGTTGTATTACCCAGAATGCGATTTATTTGTGCGAGAATTACATTGCATTACACATCTATGATTCATGTCTGTCAGCAGTTGAAGACTTGAATTGTAGGATTCTTTTTTGTCGTTCAACAGGGCACTTCAGCGCATTCTATGGTCCCACTTTCGCAAAGAATTTGCTTATTCAACATTCGCTCTCGTCTGATAAGCCCGCATCTCCTTAAATGTGGGTTACTTTGTAGTAATTTTGTTTGGTGATTTGGGAGTTTTGTGCGTTGGACGGGTTTGAAACTCGTTGACTAAGGCAAACAATGCCAAAGAGTGCTGAAGGCACAGAACATTGTGCCAGCTTTTGCTGTTGTTGTTAACCTGTCTGCTGAGGCGCTGAAATAAAAGTGCAAAAAAAGTTAAAATCAAAAGCGGAGTGTGATAAAATAAACATATGACCATGAAAGAGACAGTAGGTTGAATGTAAACTTGAAATTCCATCAGAAATCGGTATTCCAAAGTTACGGCCGGAATCGAAAAAGGGAAAAAATTCTGGTTTTTTTTTTTGAAGACGTTTGCCTTCAAAAATCCGAAGGAACTAATATTGTTTAGCATGGAATTCAACCGATTCTTTCAGTAGTAAACAACATTTTATGCTTAAGATTGTTATTGGTCATAAAATCTTGTTAAATTGACTTCGCAATGAAATATCAAGAACTCTTGATTTATTGAGATCGTCTGTCAACAAAAGTTTTGCTATGGTTCACTTTAGAAATTGCGTTAAACAATAGTTTTATTTGGTATGGTGCGCCCTTGTGTTATGCTTCTGTCCCAGGGTATTATTTGCTTTATAGTGGCATTTTTCTTTGATATATTATTTACTAGGTGTTTTCCACACTGCGTGGAGATTTAGCAGAACTCCTTGACTAATTCAATCCGCTTGCAAACAGTTTTTAGGCGTTCACCAGCCTACTTACTCACTCACTTTGGTATTTGGACGGCCCATGCTCACTAGTTGTGCGGACCCCAGCATAATCTCCACTTTTCGGAGTTTTGCTCCTTTAGCCATTGTGTTTCTCCGGAGTCCCGAGGTCAGCCTCGCCAAAGTCTGTTCCAGGTCTTCACAACCAGTGCCGGTGACCGCCCTTGTGGATTAGATGGAGATTTGCCACCATGCACTTGGTTTGATACCAGGACGGTGGTGTATCCTGATATTGGTTTGCTTTTAGATAGGTTCGTGCTGGAAACGGCGGACTTCTCAGCTTGGGAGGCCCGGTTGGGGTGATGAATCTCCCCGCGGTACATCATAGCCCGACACCCAGCAACATCTAGTCACGATGAGGCGGTATACCGTTGGGAGGTTCACGGACGTATATGTACTTTAATGTTGATGTCCATGGTTACCACCATTCTTAGGTGATTTTCTCCTGTGAAAAGTATTGTTATTCTGTCCATTTTTTCTTTTCAGGTGTTCGAACGTGACTACCTCGTTGAGGAACTTCACTCAATGTTTTCTGATTTAGCTGCGGATGAACAGGTATCCTGGTGTGTCATGTTATGAAGGCGAAAATATTACACTGTTCTTTTTCTTTCAAGGATTCGGTGCGTTTGTTGGCTGTTGAAGGATGTATAGCGATGGCAGGTTTGTTACCTGAAGATAGTCGACGTGAATATGTTCGACCAGTACTCGTTGGACTCATGGATGACAAAAGTTGGCGTGTACGATTTATGGTTGCAGAAAAGCTGACTGAGGTATCTGAATAGTGTTCACTTCACTAATGTAATCGTATGGAACGGTCCTAGCAATACAAGCGACAGCTTTGATTCATTCTTTTCTGTGACTTCATTCCTTCCACTGATTTGATCGAGTGCAACAAGAAATACTTGAATGAAATGAATGAGTGCTGAAACTCAATCGTTCGAGCTCAAAAGTCGTGCAGCTGTTGTGATGAATCGAAACTGCTTTAGTTAAACAGTAGTATGTTGTTAAAGAATGTCTTCCTTTCTGTTGCAGATACAAGAAGCTGTTGGCGAGGAAATGGCTCTGTCTGACCTTGTTCCAGCTTTCACTAACCTCCTCAAAGATGCGGAGGGCGAAGTTCGTGGTGCTGCTGCACAGAAGCTAAACAGTGTGTCATCCAACAGCACCATATTTTCTTATAAACTTCTTTCGTAGCTCCATCAGTGTTTTAGCGTTTTGTGCAAACCTGAAGAAAAGCGAGAGAGAGTCTGCCATTCTGAACAACATTCTGCCGGTTGTGAAAGAATTAGTCAGTGATCCGAATCAAGTCAGTACATGATTAGTTTTTGAAACTTGTTTATAAATATATTAAACGCTCATCTTGTACTGATACTTTTTCAGCATGTAAAAACTGAACTTGCCGGAGTTATTATGGGTTTGGCGCCGCTTGTTGGAAAAGAAAATACCATATCACAGCTCCTACCAATTTACATGCAGCTGCTAAAGGACAGTACTGCCGAAGTCCGTCTGAACATCATTAGCAGTCTGGATAAAGTTAGTGTCTAAAGAACTTGGTTTGATGACTTCGTTACTGAGATTCTCCCAACGCTTTACCGCCTCATCGTGGCTGGTATCGGACTGCGATGTACAGCGGGTGATTCCTCACCCCAGCAGGGTTCTCCCAAGCTGAGGATTCTGACGTTTCCATCCGGAAGCATGGCTAAGAGTAAACCAGTAGCAGGATCTGCCACCTGACTGGTATCAATGTCGCATGGTGGCAAATCTCCTTCCGGTCCACAAGGTCTGCGGCTGCCTGTTGTTGTGAAGACCTAGGGCAGACTTTGGCTAGGCTGTCCTCGGGATTCCAGGGAACCACGATGGCTTAACCAGCAAATCTCCAAAAAATGGTGATTATGCTGGGGCCCGCACAATCAGTGGGGATGGGTCGTTCAAGTATCAAGTAAATAAGCTATTGAGATTGGTAACAAACGTTTCAGGTGAATGATGTTATTGGGGCATCTCAGCTTTCGCAGTCGCTTCTCCCAGCGATCGTCGAACTGGCCGAAGACGGTAAATGGCGTGTTCGACTCGCCATAGTGCAGTTCATGCCGTTACTCGCTGCACAACTCGTGAGTTCATCTCACCTATGTGTTCTCGAGTTTTTTTCCGCTCATTTAGCTGACATATTCTATCGATTATTTCAGGGACAAGCGTTCTTCGATGAGAAAATGCTCCCGCTTTGTCTTAACTGGCTGTGTGATCATGGTGCGTAATCCGAAGTCGTTAATGTTTCTCTTTTTTTTCAGCTAGGGTTATTTTCAGTCTACGCCATACGTGAGGCTGCTACGTCAATTCTGACAGAACTTGCTGGTAAATTTGGTGGTGAGTGGGCAACGAAGAATATTATGCCGAAGGTTTTAGCCTTGTCCAAGGTGTGTTTGCATAATTTTCAGTCCTTGTCATTTACAAGAAAATACTGCGGTGGGATATCAATTACATCATTTGTTTGTTCACGACTTCGTTTATCTTAGGACCTAAACTATCTTCATCGCATGACTTGCTTGTTTTGTCTCAATTCGCTAGCGGAAGCTGTTGGGCCGGAGCAAACTATGAAAGAGATTATGCCGATAATTAACGAAGTATGTTATTACTCATTCTACTAACTGTCAGAGGGCGCGTATAACGCAGTGACCGCAGGTGCACTGTAATACACAAGGATCGGTCCCAGTGCCCAAGTCCCACTAAGCCTCCCATCTCTCCGGGATCGGCAAATTGATACCAGACTTGTCTGGTACCATAGCAGTACTGGCTCGATACATCGGTAGGCCACCGCGAGTCATCGTATAAGCCAAATATGCATTCAGTCAGTTCCAAACAATGCTTAGTGAGGTCGTATGCGTGGCACATCTCTCAGAGATAGATCAACGCCGAGAGCTTTATCCTTTATCCTTTTTTACCAACTTTCAATGTTTTGTTTATAGTGTTTTTCCTTATAACAAATTTAGCTCAGCGAGGATAACGTACCAAATGTGCGCTTCAATGTTGCTAAGGGCTTAATGAAGATTGGAAAGGTGGTGGACACAAGGTTTGTTTATGGAAACGGCTTGACTCCTTTATTGTTTATGCTTCTGCTAAAAATTTGCTATCAAGCCTGCTATCAAACAATCCATAGCAACCATTATGTTGTCTAAGTGTGTTTCAGTACTCTTCAAAATGAAGTGAAACCAATCTTGATGAATCTTTCGAACGATCCGGACTTTGACGTGCGATTTTTTGCAGAGGAGGCAAAAACGAGCTTGAGCTTGCATTAGAACTCTGATCATTGCGGTACTAATACGGCTGGAAACCGTAATGTTTTAGTCTCTTATTTAAGTTGCTAGTTTTCAACTTACCATCGATGATCACCGTTTATTCTCGGAATTTTTGGTTACTTCTTGTATTTGTGCCGTCACCGTTTGGATTTCATATGAACTGACCCTTCTTTTTCGTATTAGTAAGCATATTTCGCTTTTCATGTTCGGTTTTAACGATGGTTTTCTTTTTAAACTGAAATGAGTTGTATGTTTATTTTCGTTTTTGTACCTCGTTTTATTATGAGTTTCTCCCAAATATGAACACAATCGAGTAGAAGATAGTTCTATTCCTACCCAAGACCAATAGGTTGTAACCGTTCTCTTTTATGTGTTTTGTTGGAAATAAAAATGATTTGTGCTGAGTGGTTCGATCTACGTTATCAGGTGGTGTGAAGTCGCAGTGTTCCTCTTTAAAAGTAACTGTAATTTGGTCGAATAACTCAAGATGTGGGTGAAGTCGTTGCTGAAGGAGGTTGAAAGGTCGCAAGTATGGTGTCTGCTGATCAAGCGAAGCAGAAGAGCGAGAAGGAACTAAAGAAGGAGGCTGAGAAGGCAGCCAAGTTGGCGAAGTTCGCGGAGAAACAACGGAAGCTCGACCAGAAAGCCACAACTGCTGTCGCCAGACCTAAAGAAGTGTGTTTTGGGTTAATTTTTCGTAATTTTATCGCTAAACATGAAGGCAGTAGTGCGGATGTGTAAGGTTGCACTCGTGGTCAACCCTAGTGAGAGAAGTATTTGATGTAGGAACATGTAGGAACGATACACTTTCCAGAAGGTAATGAAGAAAGACATTATGAAAGTGGACCTGGTACACGAAGTAGACGATCGGATTGGTGAAAAGAAAGGTGGTTATTTCAAGTCTTTTTGAATAGGTGTTTTTAATCAAGGGTAAGATTGAATCTTGGTCATTCAGATACTAGTCGTGGGCTTCCTAGTGCCTACGATACCAGATACGTCGAAGCGAAGTGGTACGCTTGGTGGGAAGGAGAAGGGTTCTTCAAGCCAGAATATGGACGAAAAACACCGATGTTAAACTTATGATATTGACCGGTAGTGAGGAATAAGTTCAAGTTCGAGTTTTTGTTCAGCATTTCAAATCCGGGAAGAACTTTCACTATGTGTATTCCACCTCCAAATGTGACCGGTACCCTGCATGTTGGTCATGCCCTTGCAACTACTATTGAAGACACTCTTACAAGATGGTAGGTCATGGAGCAGTATTGTTGAAGTATTTGGTTCATGTCTGTATTTACATAATAAGTGTTGAATTTAGGAATCGTATGAAAGGCAAAACCACTTTGTTTAATCCTGGATGTGATCATGCCGGCATTGCTACACAGGTACACCTAACTCTAGTTTCTGTCTGGTTGGTGCTTATGCCGAGTTTGATATATTGATATATATTTGATATATTATATAGCTTGATATATATATATATATATATTTCTACAGGTTGTTGTGGAGAAGAAGCTGCAACGTGAGAGAGGTTTGTCTCGTCATGATCTTGGACGTGATCGTTTCATTGAGGAAGTATGGAAATGGAAGAACGAGTTCGTTTCATTATTTGGATATCTACTACCGACTTATACTTCTAATTTATGCTCGATTTATAGAAAAGGTGGCGTAATTTATGATCAGTTGCGCAAGATGGGTGCATCTGTTGACTGGGATCGGACTTGCTTTATGATGGATCCGAAAATGACCCGAGCTGTTACTGAGGCGTTCGTTCGGATGCATGAGCGTGGAACCATTTACCGATCTAATCGACTAGTTAACTGGTCGTGTGCTCTCCGTAGCGCCATCTCCGATATTGAGGTTGTCGGATTCATGATTTATTTATCGAACGTATAGATTCTGAGTTGGTTTATGTGTGAACTTGATCTGTTGAGCTGGTCTTGAATGTTTACCATGTTTTCATGATTTATTGCATTTCTTTGAGGTCATCTTACATTACTGTAAAAGAAAGACATGAGGGCCTGAAGATCGTACATATTGCTACTCTTTTGGATCTTTTGGAATGTGGTTCTGAGGGCTAATATAGTGCATATGGAAAGGTAACGTGTCCTAACTTAGCGATTGTGAACTTACAGGTAGATAAAAAGGAGCTATCTGGTCGTACGTTGCTCGCCGTACCCGGTTATAATGAGAAAGTCGAGTTTGGCGTGTTAACTTCATTTGCCTACAGAGTTAAAGGCGGAGGTTAATTAATGTCTTTGTGAAGATGAAATGTTCAGGCATCCTTTAGAAGGAGTCGCATTTTAGATGAAGAAATTGTTGTATCGACAACCCGAATAGAGACAATGCTTGGCGATACTGCCGTAGCAGTACATCCAGATGATCCACGATACCAGCATCTCATAGGCAAAGTTAGAGTTTTGTTCATTGCATTTCTTGTAAGTAATATAGTGAACTTCTGGAGAAGCTTGCTTGGTGTTGTTACCTAGTATTTTTAGTCTTGTGTTCATCCGTTTGTCGATCGCGACCTTCCCATCGTTGCAGATTCCTTTGTGGATCGTGAATTTGGAACAGGAGCAGTTAAAATCACTCCAGCTCATGACCACAATGACTACGAGGTTGGTGTAACGAGTGATCAATACTTAACATAAAACATTGATTTAGGTAGGACAGAGGCACAGTCTCCCATTTATCACATGTATTGATGGTGATGGCCTTATTTCAAAAGGTTGTGGAAAATTCTCTGGTATGCGTCGTTTCGAAGCTCGAAATGCTATTGTCGACGATTTGAAGGAACTAAGACTTTATCGTGGGTCGAAGGACAATGCTATGGTTGTTCCTGTTTGTAGGTAAGCATTCTGTACTCCCTTAGTTTAAATCTAAGCAAGTCTTGTTCACACATTAAGAGGTGAAGTCTCATTGTAGTCACCGAATTTTGACAATTATGTGATCTTTTAAATATTCAAGTGAACAAACATCCCAGCCAAGTTTGTTTTTATGACTTTTGAAAGTTACGTAGGATGGGTCTTTAAGAACGAGTTTATAAAGGAAAGGGTAAAGCTGTCGGCATTGATTAATCCTTGAGGGAGATGCTATGCATTTGATTTCGTTAAGCATCGTTGGAGGTGATTGAATGCATATCTAGCCTTTACAATTACTCGCCTTGGCCCACCAATGTATCAAGCCGGTGCCGCTATCGTTCCAGACAAGTCTGGTATCCGGAAGGAGTGAAGACTTGGTGTGCCTGGGACGCGAGGATCGATATCACGTGTATTGTAGGTCGCCTCTGATCACTGGGCATGCTATGTACGCTACAATGGGTTTATGCTGGAGTTATTTATAGCGTTAGCTCGTCCAGCATATTAAGGAAGTAAACCGAATTGCTTGCTTAGTCAAGTTTATTTGACTTGAAAATAATCTTCCGCTTAGTTTGTTGTGAGTCTTGTCGTTAATGAACACTTAGAGTACTTTTATGCTGGAGGCTAACCTTCTTACAGCTTTCATCGTTCTCCAGTCTATTACTATTAGCAATAAGACTCCGGCAAGTTCCCATTGTTGCTCCATCTAAATCGATGGCCCACTTTTCGCTGCTGTCATTATGAATCAAATAAGTTCATGCCGGCTAACCTTCTGCACATGCGAGTCATATATACCTGTCATAATAATCTTTGTTCTACTCTGTAAGCACGAAAGCTAATTTATCGAGCCAGTACTCACAGCCTATTTTTGGCACAGTCCCATCTGTGAAGCACCTACTCTGTTGATAACCTTTTCAAGAGTATCTATGATTTTTTAAACAAACTTTCTTGGAATGTAATAGCGTTCTCGGTCCAAATCATTCCACACTGGTCTATATCGGATAAACTGTGGACGGAATATAGAAACAGCAAAAAAATCTCGTGAGACAGAATGATCAACCTGGAAATCCACTGTTCATTCATCAATTCGCTCTGTTCTCTCTGTCCTTTAATACGAGTGAGAATTAATTCATGTTACACTATAAGTGTTAATTTTATTCAGCCGCTCCAAAGATATCGTTGAGCCTTTGCTGAAGGCTCAATGGTACGTTAAATGTGACGAGATGGCGAAAAAAGCAATGGTAGCGGTGGAGAGTGGTGAATTGAAGTTGATTCCGGACTATCATGTGGCCACTTGGAACCGCTGGCTTCAAAGTACCAAGTGGGTCTATGAAATCTAACCAACCATTATTATAAGTTCCATTATATCCTGAACTTTTTGCAATATTTCCATGCTTAAGAGATTGGTGCATTTCTCGTCAGCTATGGTGGGGTCATCGTATTCCGGCATACTTTATCACTGTTACTGATGGAAAGGTCTGTTTTACTTAGTAATTTTGAGAATTCCCGAAATAGAGGTGTATTTTAGACCCCTGTTGGTGATCCTTGCGACAGCCAGTACTGGGTATCAGCACATTCTGAGGAAGATGCTTTACAAAAAGCGGCGAAGAAGTTTAACGTTGAAACTAAATTCATACAACTTAGATGGGGTAATTTAGTTGCTATTCGATAAGATGTTCGCCTTAAATGGTTTCGTAATCAGATGAAGACGTCCTTGATACGTGGTTTTCATCGGGCATGTGGCCATTTGCTATCATGGGTTGGCCCGACAGTACGACAGACATGCAGTTGTATTTCCCGTCCAATGTTCTTGAAACTGGTAAGTGTTGTTCGTTGTACTACCATTACTAGAAAGTTTTAGTGAAAACCTTATCATATCGTTTAGGTCATGATATTCTGTTTTTCTGGGTTGCTCGAATGGTGTTTATGTCCCAGGAGCTTACAGGAAAACTGCCTTTCAAAGAAGTATTTTTCCAGCAATACATGTTTTATGAGTCCTCGTTTTCATTATATAGGATTATCGTTTGGGTTTACCTCCATGCCATGATTCGTGATGCTCACGGCCGTAAGATGTCGAAATCCTTGGGCAACGTCATCGATCCTCTGGATGTGATTAGGTGAGGGACAGCATTCTTGTACTATTGGTCCTTATCATTATTTCTAGAGGCGTTACACTGGCTGAGTTACATCAACAACTGCGTGCCGGAAATTTGGACGAGAAGGAACTTGCCATTGCTCAAGCTGGTCAAGCTAGAGATTTTCCTAAGGTTGGCCGTTACATTAGTGGGTACCCGTTGGTAATAACTGTTACAATGTGTTATAATGCAAGTCTTTTGTTGTTAAGGGTATTCCTGAATGTGGTACTGATGCCCTGCGGTTTGCCCTTCTCGCTTATACTACACAAGGTAGAGATATTAACTTGGATGTGCTTCGTGTGCAAGGATATCGATTCTTCTGCAATAAGGTCGTCTTTTTCAACTGCCGCCGTTGTGTGCGAATTTCGAGTACAAATACTGTCTTGCCTTTTAGATATGGCAAGCAGTGCGGTTCACGTTGATACAACTAGGCAGTGATTACCATCCGTTGCCATTTAAGGCGAGTTTCATGTCATTGAGGCTCTTGATTTCTCTTCACCATGTAAAGCTTTCTAGTATTTGCAGCTTACTGGTAAGGAATCGGTCATAGATTTGTGGATTTTGTCACGTATCGCTCATGCCGTTGACCAATGCAACTCGTCTTTTGAGGCGTATGGTTTCGCTCAGGTATTATGAGTATAGAATATTACTCTTTGAAATAGATTGGTTAAGGGACTTCTTATCTTAGGTCACCACCACAGTGTATGATTTCTGGTTGTACGATCTTTGCGATATCTATTTGGAAGCCATAAAACCAGTGATAGCGTCCGGTATCTACCTTCAGTAGTAACATTTTAGATCTCATGAAGTATTAATGGTTGTCTATTTTTTTAATTTGAGGAAGTGAGGAGGCCCGTAGAATTGCAAAGGATATTTTATACCATTGCGTGGAAGCAGGTTTGCGTTTGATCAGTCCGATCATGCCTTTTTTGTCTGAGGAGCTATGGCAGCATCTTCCTCGTCTCGATTCTCATCCTCCATCTATCGTTGTTCATGATTATCCGGAAATTTCAGATGTATGTATAGATTCAATAGTCGTAATATTTCACCTGAAACGGAACGTTTTGCAGTTTCCATTCACGAATAGAAGAATTGAAGCCGATGTTTCATATGCGATGAGTGTGATTCGTACCGTTCGATCTCTTCGTTCCGACTATGAACTGACATATAAAACGAAAGCGGATCGTATGCTTTATTCTTTTTTTCCTTGTTCTGCCTGTAAGTACCTTCTTAATGGTTTTGTTTAGTTTATGTGTGCGTGGTTTCTAGGGATGATTATGAGTGCTTGACACCACTCGTTCCACTCATTGAAACTCTCGCTTCCAGTAGCAAGGTCTGTTTAGAGCAAATTGTTGTTTGGAAATTGATCGTCAGTATCATTATTCCAACTCATATTCAGGTCGAGATTCTGCTTTCTAATTCTGGCAATAATGTCCCTGCCGGATGTGCGCATGTGATTATTTCATCCAGATGTACTGTTTATATCGCTCTACAGGTAAGCAGTATATCCATCGTTGGTATATGTAAGCTTATTTCTTGCAAATACACTCCGGTAGATGCAAAAAGCTACTCAGTTGAGATCACGCCTCTATTAATTAACCATAATGATTGAGATATTTGCAAAACTCCGGACGGTAGGTGTCTGCGGTGGTGATCGAGCACGCTGTCACTCTTTTCGGGGACTAATGCGTTCACCACCGCACTATATGGGTACTTCGTCTCGCTTGTCTCTCAGCTAGGTTTTTATTTACCAGTGCTGTACTAATACTCCAATAACACATAATTGGGCATAGACATTGACATCGTAACATGTGTGGCTGTGCTGAATGGGCTATATGCTGCTTGATTTCAATGCATATTCATTGCGGCTTTCTTTTGCTGCAAAAGGTTGTCTAATATATTTTTCTACATATGAAAGCCTACCGAGCAGAAGTCCTGTCCTAGAAGTAGTTGATGAGAATCTCTTTTCTTCCCTGATTCTTCTTCATGCTTAATAACTTAGAATAAAAGCCTTTTCCGGACAAAATTTTCAACTTCCATCGTGAATGTTGAAAAATCCGCAAATATGTTAAGGGATATTAAAAAGAAAGATATAGAAGGAAAAATGTAGGTTTTATTTTCAATGTAGAGTGAAAAATATAGCTTTTATTTTCAACTTTTGGCACTCTAGTTTGCACAATTGTTGCATTTGACAAAATCTTGAGGATAAGCCTAGTTAGCGTCATTAGACTGAAAATGAGTTTGGTACGTAGCTTTTCTCGCGCATGAAAACCAATTATTTTTTTCCACCTATGTTTTCAAGGGCATTATCATTGTCGAACGTGAACTAACTAAACTTACTGAGAAGAAAAGAAAACTCGAAAAGAATGTAACAAGACTGGCAGAGCAAGAAGAACGCCCCGACTACGAAATAAAGGTACCACTACCCGTACGCGCTACCAACGCAGAGAAGGTATCATGTTTTTAGACTAAAGATTATGTATAGTCGGGCCAGAGAACGCCAGGTTGATAAAAGAAAGTATTCCAGAAACAATCTCTGCTACTAGAAATCCAGAGCATTGAAGCGGCTATGTCTGCCTTGCGCACTTGAATTAAGTGTTTTTATCGTTTTGCCATTCGTTGGTACGTTGACAAGATATGGTTATGTTTTGTACTAAGTAGTCTTTTATTGTTAATTTTAACAAGAAACACTTTTTAACCATTTTTCGATTGCTTTTATTACAGCGTCAGTTTTGGTTAGGCTGGAATATACTGAATGAAATAAACTATGTTTTGAATTTTTTGTAGCTTAGTGAGAGTTTAAAATCATTGCTTGTGTTCACCACCTTCGTTTTCTGTACATTTTAACTGAAATTCGATGGATCACGTTCATATGAAGGAGAATAAGGTGGTCATTCGGTTGACTACTTGCCTTCCCATGACGAATAGGTCGCTAAGTTTAGTCCGAAAGTGACGTTGTTCTTGCCCTCAGAAATAGATTGGTCCAGTGGGTGAAAACCTTATCCTTTTTTCTGTGGCTAGCATACACACTTAATATTACCTATGTAAACGTGTGCCGATGTATCCTTCTGCATGTATGTGCTGCACGTTAGTTTGGTCTAATTAGATTAGATTACTAATGATCGAGAATTATAATGTGGAAGTTGATAGGGGACTCCTTTAACAGATGAGTCCAACGTGTACTCTGGTCTAAACTTTGCAAGATACCCAGTATTACTTTTTTTGCTAAAAGATGTAAAAGTAAAGGGCTTTAATTGAAAAGCATGCTGCGCCTCGTGACACTTGAGCGAACAGAACAGGCTTCACAGTTTTGACTTGCATCGGGGACAAATAGGGATTTCAGTAGTGTTCACTCTAGACGCTCCACAATGAACGGCTCTAGCGATGATATCGAGGTCCTTTGGGTGGAACGCGTGTTTAATCGTTTAGTGCCTAGATAAAAAACAACTGCACGGTGCTCACAAGACTCCACAGTTACCATTCTCTATTATTCACATAGCAATGCTTCCTATCTTTGAAGCTGTATGGTACAGGAAGGTACAGCAAAAAGATTAGTCTTTTTTTAGATCATAGGTGGTGTAGTGGTTGACACCTTATTCCCTGGATCTCTATGACTTAGAACTTTTCTGCTTCTTAGTTCATTGATCGTATCGTCCGTCTTCACACGGGGTAAGAGAGAGTGTACATTTTCATATCGTTTGGTTTTTACCTATAGACGTCTATGTTGGCACTCTCTTCCTGTCATGGTTAACTCCAGCTTCCAACATACCCCTGTTTTATGGTAGCCATCGACACTTCAGCCCTTCTAACCAGAGAAAGTTTTTGGCTTGGGCGATGCAATACGGTTTGATTTCGTGTGAGGCTTTTTTGCTGCAGAACGGTTGATTCAAGCACTTGCTGGGTGATACGCTAATTTCTCAGTGTGATTGAAGTAGCAGCGAACGTATCAATTCGCTAGCAGAACTCTGGAAGTTGGCTGAAAGGCTCAAATGCCACGTTTTGCGCGTTTCTCATTTATGCCGCTTTCTGATGGTGCATAGCGAGCTTCGATGATAAGGAAAACTCATTAATTTGTTTCTCACTGCGGGTTTTTATTTATATAGGTTAATTTTCGATTTATACCTAGTCACATCGCTTTTCGCGCTTCAGTCAACGCCATAAGCATCCTATCTGTTTTTCTGGTTTTTCTCGAAAGGGCAAGAATATCATGATTAGGGTTAAGGTTTTATATCAATTCGCCATCAATGCCTATAGTTCTTTCATTCGAATCCAGCAAATCCATTATCCACAATAGCACGGCAATCTATAGTTTTGAGCTTACCTGCGTATTTTGCACTAGCCTTTCAGCCCTAGCGTTGAGGTTTCCAACAAACAAATTTGTAAGAAGACTCCTCGCAGCGGACGATTTCCTTTGAGTGATCATAAAGAGTCCCAGCATTATTCCTATCATATCTGCTTGCTGATGACTAGGAATTAATAAAAGTGGTGCTCTGACACGGAGTATGTAGACTAAGGAATGCCAGCCTAGGTTATTATCTTTCATATGAGTCTTCATGGTACATAAACAGTAGTTGGAGTAGTTGGATGTGCAAAACAGTCTGCGTCCTAAGATTTCGTGATGGCTTCTCTTTACGAAATATAGGTTTATTCCACAATGATGCTGAGATATTCGCAAAACTCGTAACGCTAGGCCAGCATCGAACTCGCTGTAAATCTTTCAGGGGAATAGGGTGTCGTCCACTACACCACCGATCTCCTTGCTTTGCCTTTCTGTCAGGCTATTTTTTACCCTAACGTTGCTATCAGCAAACGCCCGTCAACGGGTTGATCGGGGAACTCAAACCAATATTTATCCCAGTTAAAATGGAAGATGCATTGGAAACCACAACATTTTAACTTTTATTTGCTGTTTTTTTTTGTCTTTGTCCACTATTTGCCACTTATTTACTATTTGTTTACTGTGAAATTTGTTTTCCTCTCATCGTTTGTTACCCTGTTTGATGTTATACTATGGTATGGGCAGGAAGGTGATTTGCCATCTTGTGGCTGGGTTTCTTAAAAGATGTTTACAATTTTTTAAAAAGCTCAACCTTTATCTATGGACGATTCTATATCTGGACGGAATCTTGTAGATTTGGCGGGATGAGTGAACATGCTAATGATGCGCACCTTAATACGCATCATCGTCTGGAAGCTAACATCATCTCACAGCCCTGTGGCAAACCTTTGAATGGGACAAAAAATAATAATTGATAAGGGCGGGCCTGCTTATATCATCCCAGACAAGTCTGGTATCAATTTACCGTCTGAGTAGTGGTAAAGGGCATAGCTTGTTAGTGGCGCGAGATTGAGTCAAGGACCAAGTAAATGACAAAGCACTTCTAACCACCCGGAACCATTAGGCAAAGAAAACTTAACTTTTTTATCTTGTGTTATCTTCTTAACTCAAGAAAGAACTTTACTCAACTGTACGTGACTTCGCAGCAGAGCTCCGATAAAAAACGGTTCATGGATTTGTGTTGTCGGTTAATGTTGTATAATCGTTGATGTCGTCAACAATAAAGCTATTATAACAGTCTTTTACTGATTGAATTGATTGATAATTGCTCAATGTTTATTCTGTGAACAAGATGTGCGACATGTGTGTTAGGTGGTTTTGCAGTCCGAGAATACTGATCTAATTATAGGTATTCTTCGGAAGATACAAAGAATTTTAAGAAATATCTTTTCGATCGATCATTTCTAAGAATTAACCTCACTTAAAGATTCAGGACATTTCAATTTTAACTGCTATCGCTTTTGATGAGGTGGAAAATTTTATCGATCGTTTCGTTTTAGGCGAAATTTGTACGAGGTGTAACAAGCTTCGATTGTAAATTATTTCCTTAAAAACGGGGTAACTTTCAATTTCTTCATGTGAAGGTCACAAATGCCATTCGTCTTCCAAAAACTTATAGATTTTCGAATAAGGAGATATTAGGACTGATAATATAACATTTAATATCACCAGTAGCACGTTTTTGGATTTTATAGTCTCCCGTATCCAGGACCACTTCTTGGAGGTGGGCAGTGATCGCAGGAACCAGGCTGTCCTGGTGGTCCGCGAGGGCCAGGTGGTCCATGTGGTCCAGGCAGCCCATCGGCACCCTGCAGTTTATGAAGCCAGCAATAAATAACGATAAATATAGTAGAAGTTAAACTCTACCTTCTCTCCAGGATCTCCAGGTGGACCTGGCGGGCCTGGTCTTCCGGCTTGCCCGTCTTTTCCAGGAGGCCCAATTGGTCCTTGTGGTCCTGGCGGTCCCGGTGGTCCAGGAGGGCCCGGTGGTGCACCATTGATCACCTTTCCTGGCTCACCTGGTGGTCCTTTCTCTCCAGGAATACCGGGCGGTCCTTGTGGACCTGGAGGCCCTGGTGGTCCTGGTAGTCCTGGGATTCCATCATGGCCTGGAGTGCCTGGGTCTCCTTGTGGGCCTGGTAGACCCTTCGGTCCAGGTGGTCCTAAGAATTTCAAATGTTCCTAAAAATGACATGAACATAGTAGGAAAGAATAATTACGATGTTAACCTGGTGGACCGGGCGGACCAGGTGGACATTTCTGACAAGGAGGTTTCGGTGGCGGTCCTGGAAGAAGAGAACCGTCCCTTCCTGGTGGGCCAGGGTTTCCTGGTCTTCCTGGGGCACCAGGCCTGCCATCTCGACCAGGAGGGCCTGGCGGACCGGGCGGGCCAACCTAAAATTTGGTATGGTGTAAACAGCAATCAATTGAATTTAATACTGTACCTGACATGTGCAACATGAGCCCCCTGCTGCTGACGGATGTGCGTGATTGTCCACTGGCTGAGCATCATAGGACTCACGTCGCACTCGTCGATTAACCTTTCCTGTGAATGTGAATTGCACTGTGACCATTTCACGCCACATTTCACGCGAACGAGTCTATAATCTTTCATGATCAGTCATGCTCTCAGTCAATTTGAACTGAATGAAAGGTGTTATTTACCTACCTTACAGAAGTCGACCTCATTTTGCATATAAGACTGGACAGATTGAACGTGACTGTATACAAGTGGAATGCTTATAATACATGAGAGTACACTAACTGTTGCTAATGCGACTGAGGCAAGAGCTAATGTACGAAGAGACTTCTTTTGACAATTTTGGCTCATTCTGGAAGCTATATCGGTTTTAGAAAATGAAAAATCAAGCGTCAATGCAGAGAAAGAAGGGGAGCGGAAGAAAATGTATTTGAAGCGGCATAAAGAATAAGACGATCAAAAGCTGGAGAGGCCACTTCAGTACTTCACCGGGACCGAATTGTCGATGCGCTATCAGTGTCTCCTGTTAGAAAAATGGAAATGATATGATCGCTCTTTTATCGTCTCCGTCCATTGCCGTACTTGACCTAAATTGACACTTTAACCTACATATGCACGTTCTCAACTAACGAGAAGATAACGGACCTTCTCAAGTGTCTGAGGTAAGAGATGATTTGTTCAGAGGGTATTTGAGCACATATCAAATCCTTACTGTTAGTTGTCGACCATTTCTTGAAAAGATGAGCAATATTTCTGTTAGGGGCAATTTAGACCATATTTTATTCTGTTTAACGTTTTGTTTTCTGCCTTCTATAATTTTCATGGCAGGTTACTAAGCGAAATACAACCACAACGTTGCTGAGATATTTGCAAAACTCTGGACCGCAGTTGTCTATGGTGGGGAACGAACGCGCTATTATCCTTTCCGGGGAGTAACGCGTTCACCACCACACCATGCGGGTCCTTTGTTTCGCACGTCTCTCAGCTATTTCTATCGATCTTTTTGCCACAGCAATCACCCGTCAGCGAGGTTGATCTGGGGAGCGCAAATCGGCATAGAACCCAGTTAAGCTATGGCTGTAGTTGAAATCACAATGTTTAACGTTTTCGATAGAAATAGCTGAGAGACGTGCGAAACAAAGGACCCGCATGGTGTGGTGGTGAACGCGTTACTCCCCGGAAAGGATAATAGCGCGTTCGTCCCCCACCATAGACACCTGCGGTCCAGAGTTTTGCAAATATCTCAGCATCGTTGTGGTCATATTTTATTCTAATAGGCACCCAATGGCTTCGTTCCAGTGTGGCATGCATCACCCATCTAACCACTCACCCAGCATCACGACGTGGTCATGGGATGCACAATGAAATGGGTAGGTGAATGGCGATGGGGTTTTCATCCTCCTTAAAGAGCTGTGCTGTGTAATGTAGTAAGAGGTACACTGCAACGTATACTGGATCGGTCTGTGGTTCTCTCCCGCGTCCCACGGTGACCAAACCTTCCGTCCTTCTGGGTTGGACAAACTGGTGCCAAACTTCGAGGAAGATTAGAAAAACGCTGACCTAATAATTTTAACTTATTATTTACTGCGTACTCTTTTTAATGACAGGGTACGTTGCGAAATATAGCTTTAATGATGTTGAGATATTTGACTCCGGATCGCAAGTGTCTGCGGTGGGGAGCGAACGCGGTATTACTCCTTCTGGTGATTAACGCGTTCATTACCACACCATGCGGGTCCTTCGTTTCACCTAATAATCACCCTCCTCACCGCTGACTTAATTTTTCATATTTTTTGAGCAAAAGTGAGGTGTTATTTCACTCTTTATTGCTATGAAGCTGATATTTTGACGGTTTTCACCTTTTTCAAATCCTGGAAAGGTCAAATTGTCCGCAATCTACCCTATAAAACACCTCAATAGTCAAACAGAAAATGCTAAACCACGATTTGAATCATATTGAACAATTATCAATTCGATTAATATCAGCATCAATCATTTATCAATTGCTGCCTTGATACATCGTATGGTACAGTAACCCACTGTAAACCCTTGAAATGCATTTAATGACTTCTACGATGATTGACGGAGTCAACTGTATTGAGGACCTCTCAGGAATTGATCAGCTCGTAACGCTTCATCTTTCTTTTTTTAAAATCTCTTCTTCGTGTGATATAAAGTAATTCAGTTCACTTTGTGGCATGAGGATACATTAATACATTGCATTGAATTATTTTTTTGGTGTACAACGCTTCAAGTTGCTACAAACATTGAACCACTCCGAACTAAGTGAAGTCAGTAAGGAAATATATTTGGATACAACAAAAAAACTGAATAAGTGCTCTGGATACTCTAGATATTTTTAACGGGAGACAATGAAAAAGATACGTATTCAAATAAAGGGAAAGACAGGCATTTGAGATGAACGAAATGAAATATGATAGATGAAAGGCACGAGATCATTAGGGCGACCGCAATTAATTGAGAACTATAGCGATAAATAGGTTTTTTCTTCAGGAGAAGCAGCATTCTTTTTGAGTACAGCGTCTATGGAATATTAAAAAAGATAGCATATGCCATAATATGTGGAATAAATGCAATTTAGATACACTTCCTCCATAGCCAACAGCTGGTACGAATCAGTTCGTAATTTTTCTTCTCTTGATATCCAGTTTAGTACGAAGTATGCTGAAAGTATGCTTCTTTGTTCAACGAGAGAATTCAGTTTTACTTTTGGAGCCAGGTACATAATTGTCCCTTGTGGTTCGCCTCTTCCTTATTTTCTCAGCAATATTTGAAACTGATTAGTTCACTATTTCCATACGGAAGCTCAATATGGACCAAATAGCAAGTTGATGATAGGAATCGCAGTGATCATTTCAGAAATCTAGTCATAACGTGATCACTGGAGACTATGTGAGACATGTGGTGACTTCATTCCGCCTTCAAAAGGCTAACTTATAGCTCCAGAGAAAAAAAAAACGTCCAACCAGCAGTGGGCAAACCTTTGTATCCTTCACGCTGAGCGTTTTCGCATAAGATATCAGGCAGTGAGAAAAGCTGTGAGAAGAGAAATCTCCTCGCGTTGCGTAGTTCATAGGAAATCGACTAAATCAACACGTCTGCGACACTTTAGGTTTTTCCTGACACCACACCAACAACACTTAAACAGATTCTTTTGAAGATGACTATGAAGCTCTTTCAAAGGCCGTCAATCACATCAAATTTGATGTAATCGAGCCATAGTAGACCACGATTGGGAAAATGGACGAGCACCAGTTAGACAAAATGATTCTTATTCTACGTGAAGAGAAGGAGCTATCATTAAACATTGGTGAGGGCAGTGTATGTTGTACATACGTTTTGCCATCAAGTCGACTCTTATGACATCTAACCATCTAGCCCGACGCTCTTCGATCTTCAGAGACTCCTTGTCAAAACCCTAATTTATCAATTACTACTCGCGACCCTGCATAATAGATTGGAAAGCGATGGTGAAAATGAAAGCAATGTTGTTGGATTTTAAGGTGATATACTTTTTGAAAAAAAACGACACTAGACATGGGAATCTTCTAACACCATAATTCATATAGGGATTGACCACATCCTCACAAACGTAAAACCCTTGTTCCTTGACACCTCCGTATTACTGTCACTAGGCAGTGGATCGGTTTCTTCATGCAAAGATAGTCCTAACCCGATGCTGAAAGAGAACTTTTATCACCGCCTAGGTAAAAAGGATAACTTTGACGATGACATTTTGAATTCCCGCAAATATGGTGAATCAAGGTTGGCCTGATGAAATATTACAAACTGTTAGCATAACAACACTAAGAAGTGTCGAATTAAAGAAATTTTGATCACATCTCCAGCAGCATCATTTAGTTGCCCTCGAAGTGAACGAAACTAATGTTATACCTGACTTCGACACAAATTACACGGCATGCGCTCTGCAAAGGATCTTTATAGAAGCATTTACAATGCTGAAACCGAAAAAGTACTACTGGAGACGGCTCAGAAAGCGACTGCTCTCAGGAAACGCCTTCTCGATCTTCGGTAGTGTTTTGCCCTACAACCAGTAATATCTAACTAAGGTGGGAATACTAACACCTCTTGCTGAAATATGAAACTGATCATTTCATACCCCTCTGTATAGAACCCAAAACTTCGGCTGAAGAAAAACCGTCCCGGCTTTTTCTAGCAAGGTTCGACTTGTGATGAAGAGTATAAGGAGAGGCAGTGTTCCAGCAACTGAGATGGCGCGCGACTACGTTAAATCTGGAAGCTACTTAAAGTAGGCAATTCTTAAACCATACGATCACTTTTATTGGGTATTAATGCGCAGTAGAAAAGCTAATGCATGGCCGTCCTGCCGACGAAAAGCGTTCAGAATGATCTTTTGTTTCTACTGAGCGATTTGATTCACTTTCGACGAAGCTCAATTAGTTGAGCACGCAGGATTCCAGCAGTAATTCCTCCGTATGATTCAGATCTATACTTGAAGGTCGGCTGGGTGCACTTCCTGCTAACCATTGTAGAGTACAAAAAAATTTTTGACATTGTCGAAAAGATGGACATTCTATCAATCCGTCGCTTAAGAGTGTATCCATTCCACATAATAGTTTCAGCTGAATTACTAACTGAGCTGAAAAAGCTGTTCTTTCGTCGACTCCTCATCTCATCCAATACGAAAAGAGATCTGATAGAGATAAACCACCTTGCCAAAGGTGTACACTGCCGTATTGTTGTGGATAATGAAGTTGCTCCAATGGAATGAAAAAGGCATACGCCTTAATAGCAGATCCAAGTGGAATCTTCGTTCCGCTCACGATATTTTCATTTTTTCGAGAAGAGCCAGAGAAAGAGATGTAATGCCTAATGAGCTCAATAAAGCGGGGAGAGTGGATGTAGCTGCGTAGAGTACGAAGGTTGACTCAGGTCATAAAACGCCAATAGTGCAATAGACAATAAGTTGAGATAGATTGTTTTCTTTATTGCACAAAGCACAACATGCATGTAGTTAGGTCGTTCAATGCACATGAGTAATGTTGAGTTGGATACAGAAATTGGCGAGCGGCGCTGGCTGCAGTCGGCCCTTTCAGAGAAGCCACCGATCAAAACCCTGAGCCAAAATTGTGGTAGCTTTGTTAGAGCTCTGTTCACCAACGACAGATTGGGAGTTACGCAACTTGTTATCTAGTAGGCGAGTTGTAGATGTTTAGTTCCACAAGGTGGACAAATCGTAGTATGGTAAGTATTTCCCTGGAAGATACCATGAACATTATTAATGCTTCTGTTGCTGAAACTAGCATTCATATTAGTGCAGCGTTAAAGCCTGCACTTACTGGTTGATAGACGATCTGCTTGGAGCCGTCTCTCTTGTGCAAATCCCGTCTTTGATTAGTTGTTCACGGATCTCACCTTGACGGCTCATTCCAAGTCTTGTCCTGAATTGCTTTCTAAATCATTTTTTCTTCGCATTCCTCTTCTATATATTCCAAAAAATTCCACCTGTAGTCTCTTACTGCCGCGACTAATGGTGATTCTGTTCGTCCTTCCTTAGCATCCTTTGGTCGAACCGAACCCGTCTGTCTGTATCTAAACCTTCCACAAAATCACTTTATTGAAGTCAAATAGCCTTGATAAAAATTTGTCCATTTATTCTTACCTGTTTAAAATTTTGCTTACACAACTGTGCGTAACACATAGGCGCTTCGATATATCACAAATCTTCCAACCGCTCTGCAGTAAAAAAAAAATTAAGTACTTTCTTCTGTTATAGAAATATAAGCACTCTGCAAGTTTTTATGTTCTTTTTCTTTAATAAGGAAGTATACCGCTGATCGTCCAAAACAGCTTAGAATTTATCATAAAATCGTTCTTGAAGCGCTAACAGCACTTTACATTTGCCACTTTGCCACAGAATGTGTACATAGATACATCCAACATGTATATACATATATACATATATATATATATATATTCGTGCATATAACACATATAACCTCCCAACGGTTTACCTCTTCGTGACTGGGAGGTGTTCTTTGGTGCCAGAATGCGATGCACTGAGGAGGAATTCGTCCCCTTGCAGGGTCTCCCAAGCTGAGAAGGAGTCCGGCGTTTCCATGAGGAAGCGTGGCTAAGAGTAAACCAAAACTAGGATCCACCACCGTCCTGGTATTAAAGTTGCATGGTAGCAAATCTCCTTTTGATTCACAAGGGGTGCGACTGCTTGTGGTGGTGAAGACCTGGGGCAGATTTTGGCCATACCGACCTCGGAATTCCAGAGACTCACAATGGCGTAACCAGCATATCACCGAAAAATGGTGATTATGTTGGGGCCCGCACAACCAGTGAAGACGGGCAGTTTAAGTATCAAGTATCAAGTATAAGAGATATAAACACGCACATACATCTAAATACACAAAACACACACATACACTCACACAGACACACACGCACACACACATACAGGATGTGCAGGTGGGCTTAACGAATAATGGTGGTATTCCCTAATTTGAATAAGGTAAGTTGCAGCCTATGGAGTAAACGATAACGTTGTCTGAATTCTTGTGAATTTTCACTTTTATAATTTCTAGATATGAAATACAACGGAATAACGGAGAGGTTCAGATAAAAGCTGATGAAAATCTTAAAACTGCACTGGAATACGGTGAAAGAGTACCGAATCGAATTTTCAATTTGAATGGAACGAAGTGGATTCTATACTTCGTTGAGGATTTTCCTATAATCTACTCAATCACTCATAAAAATCGATTAGCTTGAATAATCGGCAATCTGAGATAAATATTGAATTGCGATTTTTTCGCACTTAATCGTTCGGGGTTGTAAGAAACGGACGCACTCAACAATTAAAACTGGCAATAGGTGTGAAGAGAGCGGAGTTTGAGATGATTGATGATGGAAATTGACGAGAATTGGAATCGGACTTTCTGCACATAGACGAATAATCGAATCATTGTCATTGCTTTGTTTTTGGGTAAAAGTAGGAGCTGGTGGATTATAATGCGATAAACCAAAGCGTACGTGAATACCAATTCAGATAGGATGTGGATGAATATACGGACAGATTTATTGTTTTCTATAGCGTGAAAGAGAAATTAAGTTTAAAAACAGAGCACATTAATGCCACTTCATAGCATTCGCAGCAAGAAAAAGCTGAATTAGCGAACAGGTACGTTTTCACAGTTTCTCAGCTCACTAGGAAGTCATTGTAGGTTGAGCCGTAAGGCAATTTCTTTTAGATATTATTTAATATTAATTAAAACAGCTGATGCTGAGCTTCTCTATGGCATTCGTCAAACTCAATACCAGCTCTACAGAGTCAAATATGTTTGTTACTTTCCAATTTGCATCCACGATATATTAAAAAAGTTTATTGTTTCCATTTCACGCGACACTTCTTCACAGAAACTGTGTGCACCCTGGCACTTCTTTCATTCGATTCGTTTCTTCGCATCCATCTGCCATGAAAGTATCTCAGTTTTAGGCGTGTGGGTTCTTGCTGCTTGTAGAGTGCCGTCTTGTTTATACGAATCCCTTGAATACCGGTTTGGTCTATTCTTCCTAGAGTCTTTGGATGGCTGGGTTAGATCGTTACCACATAGCCCGTTAGGGCTGAACTGATCTCGGACGAGTCTGGCAGCAGTTCCGCGGCCCGAGAGAGATAAACGGTCTGATGAGCTCGGGGAAAGAGGGTTTGAGAGACCAAAAAAAGTAGTGGACCGTTTCTTTGACGAGAAAACTAAATTTGTTAGCATGAGTGCTGTAAAACGAAGGTGAGCCATCGTGATTCTTCAACAAGGGTTACTCTTTCCATAACTGTTATCACTAGAGTGCGCGTAGGGCAGTGCAATCCCACGCCGTGGATAAATTAATTCCCTCATCCCTCTGGGCTTAGCAGATGGATGCCAGATTACCTTAGGAAGCCAAAGACACTGACTCAGTATATACGTAGGTCGCCATAACTCGTTGTTTAGCCCAAATATGGATTCAGTTATTGTTGTCACTAGAATCAATTGCGTGGGTTCATCTCTAAGCGATTGATCTACGTCGAAAATTTTGCCTTCTCCTCTTATTATTACTGTTATTCTTGAGATGTACTGGTGTACCATGTACTCTAAACACGTACTACTTAACCACGGTTTGACTGTGATATGTAGATCTTATACGAATATGAAGGTGGATGGTTTACAATCCACCAATCAATTATCGCTCATGTCAAGAGTTGTGTTGTCTTCAGCATGTTAAGGACGATGACTGTATGATCCGACCAAAAATCATCAGTATCACGTATATCCTTTTCAGTTACCAACTAATCCGAGCGAGAAGTTGTATAGTAATTACTCTTCACTACTTTTCCGAATAGAAATACCGAGGTCAGTGGTAGCCTGGTTGATATGGACCTTTTCTCTGGACGTCGCAATTTGAAATGCAATTACGTTGCCCACCTGCAATGAGGGGACAAACAATTCGGAACGGAATAAAAACGTATGGGACGATTAAAGAAATACGATAAAGAAACCAGCTAGCCACTTACGTTCAGGTAAATACGCAGCCGATAGCTTTTTTTGTTTTCAGAAAACCTGATAATGGGTTATATGCTGATGTACCCTGTATAAGCACGCTGGACATTGTAGGACATCGAAAAACATAAGGACATTTTCTACTGGAAGGTCGCGAGATAGTAACTGTAAAGTGCCTGCCTAGTGCAAAATTACCAACTAAATATTTCGTAAAAGAAAAGTAATGGAAGGAATGGTTGTCCTTGACAAACCTGAAATAATTTCACAATTTCCTCGCGTTCACACATCGACAGCGGCAGTCCGGGGCTGTACGTTCTTCCCAATTGATTTCTACCTACAAAGAACTGGACTATATTCATATCCGAGGGAAATAACAATAATAACTCTTAGTAACCAAGTTAATTTATTGCGATGATATTATTTGATTGAGCTTCAACAGTTGCAGACGCTATTTTTGGACAAATAATTAATCACAGTATGTTACGTTAGTAGGGGAGCGTGGAGAGCGGTGTTCGGAATCGCCCTGTAATACGCAGGGGATCAATCTATGCACCTCAGGCCCAACAAATCTTCAATAACTTCGAGGTCGGCATATTGGCACCAGTCTTGCCTAGAAGGATATCAGCACTTTTTCGATACATCAGTAGGCACTATGAGTCATTGTAAAGTCCAGATATGTATTCAATCGCCACCAATGATGCTTAATGAAGTCGAATGCATGGGGCATCTCTCAGGGTTTGATCAACGCCGAGAGCTTCATCCTTATTTATATATTATGTTAGTAAATGTACATTAATTCGTTAAACCTCCAATGGTAGTTTGACCTGAACTTCGAATCTGATCCTTTTCACTCTGTGGAGGTTGGACGTCTTCTATCGAACTTGATGACAATGACGATGGGCTGTCGACCACCGAACTTTCCAGGTAGCAGATCTGAAGTATGCGTCCGCTTTTTTTTGAAATGTTAAAGTATATAACGAAAGGAAGAATTCCACGCTGTCACCAAAATCAGCTGGTATCGTCTTTAGTGGTTGACAACGTTGACGAATAACTGCCACGACCGACTTTCTATTAACCTCGGCATTGCGCCAGCTAGTTAGCAACCGCCTATATGACCGTCTATGCGCAACTCAAAATTGCATAATTTGCCCCAGTGGTAGAGACGGTGATTGCATGAGCTCGGGTATAGTTTATCTGATCTCCTGTAAAACGTGTGATGACGAATACATTGGCGAAACGGGTAGACCCCTCTGTGTCCGCATGAAAGAACACCTAGCCGGCAAAAATAGACCAAATACCCCGCTAGGCACGCATAGGACCCAGAGACATAACGGGGACGACTTCGAAGTATGTGTCACGATCCTCGCACGCGAATCAAGAACACAGGCGCGAAAAACTCTCGAGGCACTCTGGATTAATTCCAGAAATGCGAAAATGAACCGCAGGGAAGAATGCCTCATTATCACGCGTGATATAGGGCAGTATATAAGACTGCTATTCTGATGTGAGGGGCACATTATACTTCCATGTGATTTCTGTGCGGTTGGTCTCTACGTGACATACTTAGTGGAAACCTCATAGNAAATTTGCATAATTTGCTCCAGTGGTAGAGACGGTGATTGCATGAGCTCGGGTATAGTTTATCTGATCTCCTGTAAAACGTGTGATGACGAATACATTGGCGAAACGGGTAGACCCCTCTGTGTCCGCATGAAAGAACACCTAGCCGGCAAAAATAGACCAAATACCCCGCTAGGCACGCATAGGACCCAGAGACATAACGGGGACGACTTCGAAGTATGTGTCACGATCCTCGCACGCGAATCAAGAACACAGGCGCGAAAAACTCTCGAGGCACTCTGGATTAATTCCAGAAATGCGAAAATGAACCGCAGGGAAGAATGCCTCATTATCACGCGTGATATAGGGCAGTATATAAGACTGCTATTCTGATGTGAGGGGCACATTATACTTCCATGTGATTTCTGTGCGGTTGGTCTCTACGTGACATACTTAGTGGAAACCTCATAGAAAGCGGTGAGTGTGCAAAGCTGTGTTCAAAGTGATTGAAATCTTGGTTTGGGGTTTCTTTGTTTGGTTATGGAGGCGTCTGGCCGAGTGGATTGCTACCAACTTGACCTTTCCAGGCTCTGAGGAAGGCGAAATCCGCCGAAACGTCAGCTTAATCGTGAACAAAGAATAATAACACCTCGCGTTGACGAATAATATTCAGCCATTTTTTATTGTGATTTCTCCTGGTTTTCCAATCTTTAGAAATATTACTAGTCCTTAATTTTCTTGTGCCGTTTAGTGAAACTCGCCCTAAATGTCGAACACGTAGTGCACCAAATTACGGTACGAACTAAGAACAAAAACCACCGTATCAATCGTAGATCAAAATATCTATAAGTGAATGATTGAGAAGAATATGCCATGGAGATGGGCAGTCATGACTGCTACGTTTTATCATTGTAATCATTTCGTAGATGAGATCTACTGGAGAGTTTTTGCCCGTTCATTATTTTTCTAGTTTAGTGCAGATAAGAAAGAAGTGGATTTTTATGCAGCCACTAGAAAAGTGCCGTCAGGACATTTCAATTTCCGGTTTCCAATCAAAAACACATTAAGCAAGTCACGAACAATTTCGAGGAAAAGGCTCACTGCCGACTGAACTCGAATGGAGTTTCTACATTAATCAACGATTACCTTTATATATTCCTAGCTAAAAATTGAATTCGCTAAACTCTGAACAAGTCACTGAAGCAGTTACGACAAAAGGAACTAAGAAACGAAAAAAGAAGGTTGTCGCTGTCACGGTAAGCACTGATTGAGAAAATTAAACATTAGTCATTATCGTCACCACCAGCCGAAGTAGGCGATGTTTCTGTTAAGAAAAAATCGAATAATGACATCAAATCAGATTGCTGGTTCGTCCTCATTTATTATAGTACACCTACATAAGGGCGTGTGTGGCGCAGTGGTAGGAAGTACCGTGCAACACACATGTAGAATCAATCGCCGCGCCCATTGCCTACCAAGCCTTCCATCCCTCCGGGGTGGACAAACTGGCACCAGACTTGTCTAGGAGGATATCAGCACTAGCTCGATACATAGTTAGCCCACCGTGAGTCATTGTAAAGGCCAGATATGCATTTAATTACCTCCAAACGGTGCTTAATGAAGTCGAATGCATGGCGGATCCCTCAGGATCGATCAGGACAAAGAGTTTTATCTTTTATCATTTACAGCTACATAATCACCAATATGCTAATAAAAAGTTATTTAACCGGTTTCTTGTAATACTTGCAGAGATCTGGACACACCTACGGATAGAAAAATCGCAAGAAGAAGCTTTTCCTTTCTTTCCAGGAATCCATCACTGCGACTTTGCAAGTGTTTTCTTCATATCTCAAACGACTGTTTTTTTATTTTCTTGCAAATTCTCAACTAATCAGTGTGTTTCTAACGATAAAAAGTTATAAATAGTGCGTTCATCTTCACTATCAGAAAAAACAACTATTATTGACTTTAGTTTTTCTTCTGTTTTAGATCGAATGCTCCCATGAAGTCTTTCATTCATAACGAAGTCGATAAATCCCTTTTGTGCAATTTCATAATCTTCTAGCTGGTTTTTCATGAATAAAAAGGTTTTATTAAGTGGAATTTAGTACAGATTAGCAAAAAAGATCGCATTCCAACAAAAGTGAAATTTTATATTCAAAATACTCTTAAACGACTCCAGTGACTCACTCTTACTACACTATCTCTGGCTCAGTGGTCGGAAGCGCCCTGCAACACACATATGGGAAAGGTCCCCGTGCCGCGCCGCTGACCCACCAAGCCCTCTATCCCTTCGGGGTCGGCAAATTGGTACCGGTCTTGTCTAGGAAGATAGCAGCACTAAATCGGTACATCGGTTCGCCATCGCGAGTCATTGTAAAGGGCAGATATGCAATCACCTTCAGAGGACGCGTAATGAAGTCGAGTGCATGGCGCATCCCTCAGGAACTGATCAACGCCGAGAGCTTTATCCTTTTTTTATACCATCTTTGAAAGTGTGGAGATCACAAGTTTTTTTCTACTATAACATCTCACAAAATATCTTTGTTACACCCTAATTTATGGTGCCATGCATTTATATTGATTACACCGGTCTTATTTTTTTCAACAACTCCTACTTTTAACAAAAAAAAACACTATAGAAGTTTTTAAAAGTTCACCTCTTTATTTTCCAACAAATTCCTTGAACTTATCGATGGCTCAATAGGCGGTAGTGAAATACAAATTTGTGACGGCTGTGTTTCGAAGCACTGAGATCCTTCCATCTAAATGAAAAGACGAGAATTCTTTTTCTAATATTTCGTGGAACTGGGAGTGATATTTATTGATCGATCATCATTGTTCTAGGAGAAACGCAACTGATTCCGTTGGAAGTATTGATCGTTGTTATTAGAATCCTAATTGTTCTCGAGCAACAATATATCTTATTGATCAAAAACACTCAGTATTTGGCGAAATAAAGCGGTTTGTGAGCGGCAAAGCTATTTTTATCCTAAAAAGTGGGACAACTCGAATTTAGCGCAGTTTAAAAAATGATTGGTCGTAAAACTTCTACAGTGCAGCTTCAATTTGTCGGATTCGTGCAGGAAGATTCGGATAATATAAATAAACAAAAGATCTAAATCCAATTACTTCGCTTTAAAAATAATTGCCTATAATTTCTGATTGGTTAGAGGTGTCGTGTATTACGTAGAGATGTTGGTTGGTCGTTGGTTCGATCCCTGGTTCAGTTCAACCCGCACTTCTTTCCTCCGAGGTGGGAAAATTCGTAGTAAACTTGTCTGGGTGGGTAAAAACACTGTGTTAATATATCGGTGGATCACCTTAAGGCACAATGTAATCCAGGTATCCATTAAAACACCTTTACGATGCTATGAAAGGAATTCAATGCATCCCGAGTCCTCAAGCGTTTAATCGGCGCCGAACTCTATATCCTTTTGCTGTTTATTTATTCATTTTGATGAGAAACTGTTACCAAGTTTGTTCCTTCTATTCTGAAATCGTCAGTATCATGATTATTTTATTGTTCAAAAATTGAATACGACGCTCTTTCAGCTCATTTTTCTTTATTTGAAGCTTAAAACAAGCTTTCTTACTCTGTTAAACTCAGACTCTGTGTTTGCCTCATAACATAGCTCGTTCCACTTGTTTTGAACAGCTGATTAGTAGCCATGCTTATTTCTCATGAACTCTTGTAACTGGTTTGGCATCAAATGCAATGTACTGATGATCAAGAAACAATATAATTGTTGAAAACTGACAAGTTACGTCAGAGTTTGACATTGCTGTTTCAAAACCA